TTCCATGGCTTTGGGATTGTTCATCACTTCCTTGCACGTGACTGGTCGCGTGACCATGGCACTGAAGCACGATTTGACAGCAGGGTTCTTCTCCCTGTGTTCCGTAGGTACCGACGTAGTACACGGTATAGATGGGATCCAATTCAATCCTTGTTGAAGATCATATGAGCTGGAACAGCAGGATTGACGTCTGCAAGGAAAATATCCTGCGCATAAGCGTCCGACATTTCTTTTGCCCACGCCAATCCCTCATCGTCGGCGCGCACATTGAGCTGCAAGTCTATCTTGTCACACTGGACGATCTTCGGAAAGATCATCTCGTCTAGCACCTTGCTGATCACGGCTTTCTTCCTTCTCCTTCTTAGCAGAACGCGCTTTGTCTCGCTTGTCTTTCTTGTACACTGCTTTCTTTTCTGTCTCACCCAGCTTTTTCCATGCCTCGGGAGTGTACTTGTCAATGGGTCTGCGTATAGGAAGACTGCGTCTGCCGTCACTGCTGATCTTGTACGGTACTCCACGTTTGTCAATCTTACATGCCTCGCCATCATCATTCAGGTAGATCTTGCCGTCACCTTCGATGCCAACCCCCCAATGCTCAGTCTCTTCCGGAGCTGGTTTCTTTTCCTTCAAGATCTTGATAATCTCGCCAGGTTCTTCATCATCTCCTGTAGGGATGAGCCTACCCTACCGGACGGACCGACTTCGTCAAGCGCGCGTCGACCATCGGTTGAACCATGGGTTGCAGCAGGGGAGGCAAAGGCAACATATACCTGAAGCTTCACGTTCAGCTCTTTCAAGTATTTGTCACCAAATGCATCCACAGGATCGCCTTCATCGATTCTGCCTCGATCACCAATTCCTTCATCACCGGACCGTTCGATGTCAGCTAGATCAGGATCTTCTCCGGGATCTGGCGGAGGTCGTTTGTCAACCGACTCATCGTTGCCACCACCACCGCCACCTGGTTTCCCCGAGTCGTCGTCATCGTCATCGAGATCCTTGGCCTCTTTCCCCCTAAATCCGCCTTGTCCTTCAAGCTTTCAATGGTTTCGTTCATCCCTTCATACTCGGCCTTGAGTGGAAACGTGATCCCCTTCGGGAAATAGATGACCTCGGTTTGGTAAGGTTGAGCTGCCCCATCCATGGACGCAAACTCCTTCATATCCCACTCTCGATACTTTCGCGACCAACTCTGACCCGTAGTCACGACGTACCCTGCAAAGATGCCAGGTATCCCTTTCGGATCAAACTTGTGATCATTGGTTTTGTCTCGAGTGTCAGCGGGTTTGAAGAACACCTTTGCACAAAATGGTATAGCTTTCCCTTTAAAGTCATCACCGGTCATTCTCTTCGATGCCGAATCACCGTCACCGCCGACGTCTTCAATGTTCAAGCTGCGGGCGACATGACACAGCGCAAGGCGAAGTACCAGTACTGAGCTGGTAGCCCAGCATGAAGCATGGCTGTAGAGCCGGTATTGATGATCTCCTGATTAGTTCTTTCTGCAAGAGAATTGTTGTTTGGCTTGCCAGGCAGTGAATGATCCAGCGGTATCCTCAAATCGCTCATTGCAGCTTCGAACTCGAGCGCCGTCGCTGTAGGCCATCTTGACGTTGAATCTTCCGAACAGCCTTTTGAGTGCACTGACAACTTGGTCAGTATGTCTCGATTCGGTCGGGATGGCTGCGATCATTCTCGTCGCAATGTCCCTCACCACCAAGACTTCCGTTGCTCCGTCGTCAATACCAAGTCCTGGGTCTAGAAGTTGGACACCAAGTCTGTTTCCGTGACACCGTTCGCTGTCTGGAACGAAAGCGGTTCAGGCGTCACCAACTTTTCCAAGTTGTGCTTCCCGATCTTCTTCTGGGAGATCAGATCATGACCACATCCGGTGTCCATGAGGAACTTGATCTTCTTGCGAAGGATGACGGGTTGAACCATACATCGAAAGATCCCTTTCTCAATGACCTTCTTGCTGTCGACCGAGTTGAGATTCCTTTCCATCATCTGATCCTCACCGTCGTAGAACGCAACCTCAGCAACTCTCGAAGTCCCAGGAAATCTCACGTAAGCAACGCGGTCACCATCTTCACCGTCCTTGATCATGTCCTTCATGATCTGTGCTTTGAGCCTCGCCTTGTGCTTCGCGAACTCCAACTCAACTGCCCGTTTCTCGTCCTTTGCCATTGCCTCGACGTCGATCCTACTGACTTCGTGTTCTCGATCTTTGTACGATTTTCTTCGCCGATTGGAACTCGACATCCTTGGCGAAGGAAACGCATCGACGTTTCGGCTTCTTGGTCGGCGAAACCGGCCCAAGAGCCTCGTCTTCCGTCGAGCAATCAGAGTCTGGGCCGCTGTCAGCAGAAGAGCATTTCGATTTGTCATCTGTCATGTACGAGAACCTCTTCCAAATGGCAGGCGCCAGTGGATTCCATGCTCTGCACAGGCGAATGGCTGGCGCAGCAGGCTTAGGCTTTGCCTCCGGGTTCTTCTTCGCCGCAGTGCTAGGCTCAGTTTTCGGCTTCGCCTCAGCCTTGGCTTCGCTTTGGCATCCGTCTTCGCTGCTGGAGTCGCCGGGACTGCTGCCGACTCGTGTTTGATTGGGCAGTTCTCCCGCGAGCACGATCCTGTCTTCTTGAAGGTAAAACGCACTTGGTTGCTTGTGCGACTGGACGGACTCGGAGCTCTCGAACGTGTAGGTGCTTCCGGAGTCTTCTTGGAATGACGAAACGGACACTTGTCTCCATTCCGGCAACCTGCGTCGGTGAAGTGGTACTTACCGAATATGCTTCTTGCTTTTGTCGGTCTTGGAATCTCTTGATTCGCTCCGTTGCCTTCTTTGGCTTAGCCTTGGTCTTTGCTTGAGCTTTCGCCTTGCTCTGAGAAATCCCTGCACAAAACGCCCGGGTGGGACATCCTCGACGACCGGTGGAGCAATTGCCTGTGTGACTTCCGCAAGATCGACCTTCTCACGATTGGCCGGACTTCGATGAGCGGTGTAACAACTTCTGGGGATCGCACTTCAAATCCTATTGGAAAAGCACTGACCCTGTCCTTACTAATGCACTCCCAGCCCGACTCAGTAGTCCTTGATGACATGGGTATGCTCGACGCATGCTGAGAACTGAGTTGAGGTACCTGCCGGTACGCTTCAAGTTCACTTCGTGCTCTGGCGTTCATGTCCTCTTGAAGCTCCAAGTTTCTCCTCAGCTCGCTCAACTCTTCGTGCATGGTAGGCAATGATTGCTTTGCGTTCTCCTCAACGTGCCCAAGAGCCCTTGTTGTTCACGTAACCCAGTTGTTCGAACGCTCATCACGTCATTCGCGACAACGGCTTCTTCATTCCTGACGAGTTGTAGGTGTTCCTTCATGGTCATCAATGGTCATCATGGCATGTTCTGAACCTGCCATTCCTGCCCGAAGTTGAAGATTCTCTCTAGCCCGGTCATGAAGTTCGGATGTGAGCCTCTCGTACTCTCTGGCCATGTTGACACCGTCACCTTGAGCCCTTTCTTCCATGTGAATAAGGCTAAGAGCAGCCTCATTTCTCTCTTGATGTAAGTGTTGAGCGAGGTCTTCAGTGACGATGCGATCCTGTTGCCGTTGAGCATGAGCTTGTTCATTCATCCTTGTCATAGCTGCTTCAAATCCACTCTTCATCTCCTGATTCACATTGTTCATGTGTTGCATGGGCAGGCAAGCTGCGTCACGCTGCTTTCCAATTGATGAATGCGTATTTCCGAGCCGTCGTCTTCCTGTTTCATCTCTCTGATCTCTGTGACCAACGTCTGGATGATCTCCTCGTACTTCTGAATCTCACCTTGATGATACATCTGCTGCGCAAGCTGCGCTGCTTCAAGTTCATCTCTGGAGGGTCTTCCGCGTTCTTCAGCAGGTGATGGGAAACCGACAGGTGAAGTGTCCTCTACAGCTGGAATCGTGTCCATCGTCACCTCTTCGGAGTTGGTCAATGCTTGCAACGTAGGTCGACTTTCCGTCTCCGTCGATGTAATACGACGTCCGGAAGCAGACTGATTCTTATCACGCACCTTGGGTGAACTCAATGATCTCCGTGCAAAGGAACTTCTCGACGAACCAGGCTTGGATATTCTGTCCGGTGCTCTCGAACCTTTGTCCTTTCCCCTCGCTACCAAACGTAGCGATTGTACCACAGGCAAATTTGATGCCTCATTTCTCCGATCGATGCCTTTGGTAGCCCTTGAACCTGAGGATGTTGGGAGTGAAGGCATTGATGCTCTTGACACATTCTTCGCTTTGGGAGCTGTCTTTGGCGTAGCGGATGAGGAAGGCTTGGCTTTGTCCTCCTCAGTAGCGCTGTCAGCGGACTGCACTACCGCATCGTCGGCTGTGGATTCTCCAGCTGCCGGCGCCGCCACTCCACCATTGAAGGTCCACGTCGTATCTTGACGTGACCCAGAATTCATTGTGGTTGTAGAAGAGCGAGTGCAATTTGTGCTCGCAAGCAGAGCCTACCGCTGATAACCTGCTTGAGGGTTCGGTATCGCTGATACGGTATGTTCGCTCCCCTCACCAGGGCTTGTGTTGATGATGTGGTTCGCCTTGACGAGCTGCAGATAACACGCACTCTTCTGTCCCAACTCCAATCCCTTGCAGGCAAGTTCGGCTCACTCTCTTTTTGGCGTCTCGCAGCAGAGTGACGATCTGTCTATGCACGGGAATGGCTCAAATCCTTCTGTAGCTTGGTCAAGCTGGCTAGCTTCGCTAGTTGGCAAGTATGTGAGCTATTGCTCGTTATTTAGCCAAAGTTGCGTTGCATGCGGAGCATATGGTACTGGTCATAGCTCATGGTCCCATGAGTACGCCGCCAGGAGTTAGAGACAAGAACCGCAAAACGGTATCTTGCTCTTATGTACATGCTTGCGCATGACATTGGATAACATAGCTCAGGTCGCGATACCTACGGTTGGACTACGCATCGACGTCCGTTCGCAGATTATGCATGCTGAAAGCAGATTCTAAGACAGCCGACTAGTCGGCGTGCAAGCCTTACCCTGCAAAAGCTCAGGCTCCTGCCGTCGCCCCGGAGCATAGCTCCGCCCACGCACAACCCCGGCGAAAAGCTTGTCCTGGACAGGCGTCACCAACATGAAAACCTGAATAGCACATAGACTATAGAGTGTTGTGCCGAGGGCTGAAGGTTTGGATTATGATTATAAGGACCATGGACACTACACCTCAAATGTCCCTAACACATAATTCGAGAAAATGAACGCACCAGCCAACTGCTCTGGTCCGGCCTCGGGGCTCCGCCAGGGAGCCTCACAACTGCTGCAGGGGCAACATGAAGAATCACAACGACTCACAGCGCGGCCGGGCGAGGCATCAAAAAAAATTAAATAAGCATCAAAAAGTCTAAATCCATGGATCAACAAAAATTTAAAATGATGCATTCCGAATCCCACCGTTTTGGGTCACTTTGCAACCAAGTTTCGGGGCCAGTGGCCACCGGATCAACTTTCGGGTTCAGGCTTGAAGCTTCAAACTTCCTCGGATTCATCCTATATCTTAAACACACCTTTTAATTTGGTGATTCCGGTTTCATCGTATATCTTATCATGCCCCCTGATTTGGCGACTCCGGCCAGCAGATTCAACTTTAGGGCTCAAGCTTTAAGGTTCAAACCTTTTCGGGCAAATTTCGTATCTTAAACACACCCCTTCATGATAGCGTTTCCGATATCACATATCTCAGCACGTCCCTCATTTGGAGATTCCGATGCATCATACATCTTAGCAACGCACCCTCATTGGCGACAACGGATCATATGGCGATTGCGGATCATCACATCTCGTAGACATGTCCCCTCATTTCGGATTCATCATATATCTTAAAACCGCCCCCTCATGCCCCCTCATTTGGCGACTCTGGCTCATCATATATCTAATTACAACACGCCTTCTCATCTGCCGCTTCCGGTTCATACCTCTATTTGGCGGGGTCATCATATATCTACAATATGCTCCCAAATTGGCGATTCCGGTTCATCACATATCTTAAACACACCCCCTTATTTGGCGATTCCGGTTCATCGTTTTTCTTAAACATGTCCCCTCATTTGGAGATTCCGGATCCCTCCTCATTTGGCGATTCCGGTTTATCATATATCTACAAAACGCCCCTTCATTTGGCGATTGCGGTTCCTCATATATCTACATGTGGCGATTCCGAGTTTATCACGTATCTCAAACACGTCTCGCATTTGGCGATTCCGTTTCATCATATATCTTAACAATGCGCCCTTATTTGGCGATTCCGGTTTTTTATTTCGTTCTTTCATTTGTTGACGATTTATGTCGTTGTGTTTTTAATTTCCTTATTTCTCTCTTTACGTCGTTATTTCTGTACTTCGTTCTGTCTTTCTTTCGTTCGTTCGTTTGCCATCTCTTTTGTCTTTATTTGTCTTTCTGTCTTTCTTTCTTTATTGATTTCGTTCTTCCTCGTTCTTTCTCTTTCAATCTCTCTCCTTTTTATTTCTCTGTGTCGTTCTTTCGTTCTTTCTTTCTCTCCCTGTCTCTCTCTCTCTCTCTCTCTCCTTTCCCAGGCTCGATGGCATGCCGCCGCGGGAGCAGCCCGTCTGTTGGATCCTACGTGCGAAAAGTGTCTGGCACTCCAGCTTGATAAAAGGCACACCATACGAGAAAGAGTTAAATAATGCCGCACATCTCTCTCTCTCTCTCTCTCTCTCTCTCTCTCTCTCGCTCTTTAGCTTTAAACACTTTAACTTTTTTTGATGCCCGCACGGCATGCACATGCAAGGCGTCGTGCAAGATGGGGAATCACAGCAACTCACAGCGCATCGGGCCCCTGCCTCTAAGCGGAGGCATGCGATGGGGGCGGCGAAGCGTGCCAGGAAGTCTAAGGGCCCACCACCTGGGTGGGCCCCCCCCTCTTCGGATGCAGCGATCATGACAGCGTCAGCAACCACAGACCTCGCGTAGAGGTTGACGCCGTGGCGAGCGCCATCCTTGGTCGTGTACTCTGCCGACACGTGGTCATCCCATACGCGGACCATCTCGACATCACCCCTGTTAACGGAGTATATGAAGTCCGAGTAGTTCACGACATCTTCGGCCACAACAGGCTCCAGGCTGATGCTGAAAGTCAATAGCAAGGATGCGGCAGCACCGGCTGCCCAGCGGAGCTGTTTCTCAGCGCCCTCGCGCAGCGCATCGCTTGCACCGGTGGCTACTTCAGCAAAGGCTCGGGCAGTCGGGCCGGGGAGGCGGTCAGCACCGCGTCGAAGTTCTGCCGCGGCAAAGGCCTGGAGCTTCTGCACCAGAAGCGCCAGCTGTTGTGGCTCTGGTTGACTCAGAAGCTGATCGGCCAAGGCCACCAGACGAGAAAGTGCTGCCTGCGTGGCCAGGGCTGGTCGGCTGCACTTGCTCGGGTTCAATATGGCTCAATCAACCCTATCACGTGAGCTCATGTTCGTGGCGTTGCAGGTTATAAAACGAATACTCGAATGTCCGCAACCCGTGAAGCCTTAGCTCCCAAATTCATCCCCGAAGTGGTCCTCTTCCGACTCTGCTTGCTCGGAGCGGATGAGTGGAGCATGCTGCAGTCCTACCGCATGCATGCACGAGAGCGACAGCAAGAAAAGCAACAGTCAAAACTGCTCAACCACTAGAACTACCACAACACCAACAGCGACCACCACCACCACCACCACCGAAACAGGAAGCACCTACCTCTTCAGCGATTGCTCTTGTAAGTAGCCAAATCTCGCTCTCGCCAACACGCCCGCTATCCCCCCTCCCGCCTGTGCTGGCAGGCTGCGGTTCCGGACAGGGTGCCAAGGGCTCCTGAAATGCCAGGCTAACCAATGTAAGACTGAATAAGGACACACTGCCGCTGCGCCACACCTGCAATTGTGGAGCCCTGATTTTGCGGTTGGTTCGGGCTGATGCTTGCAGCTTCGGGAGCTTGAAGCACATGTTGAACAATAAAAGCTATCTAAGATTCCATGGTGGCGGTCCCCTTTGGTTTCAGGGGCCCCTGGGACTCCCAGAACCTACGAAAACCCAACAAACGTAGCTGAACTCCAGGCCCTAGGCCCTTTTGAGCCTGAACCTGAGTCTCACACCCAAATGCCACGACCCAAGGAGGAACTTGCCTCCACCTGCTTCGCCGCAGCGTGACCTCCGGAAGCCGAAAGCTCCTCCTGGTGCAGGCTTTGACGTGTTAGAGCATATATAGGGTCTGAATTTTAAGCAGTGCTGCCGACGAAGGCCCTATGATTAAAGACGGCGAAAATCCCGTAACACCCTACGAAAACCTTTCACAAAATCATATACTATGGTTGTTACCCTTGAGCCCCCTTACAAACACCCTACAAATACCACACAAAGCACCTCTAAAAGACCCGACACGAAGCTAGGGCCTGCGAGGGCAAACTCCCGAAGCTCCTCGGGAAGATCGTCGGCCTCGCCGTGCTGGTGGCGCAGTTCCTTGACCATGGCCCGCCTGGCGATGGGAGGGCTTTGGGGTGCAGGGCCTATGGCTTAACATGTATGCTATACATATATAAGCATAATGTGTACGTAACTATAGATATATATATATATACACATATATATATATATATATTTGTATGTACGGTATGTATGTAGGCGGGCAGGCAATGCAATGCTGAACCCCGAAAGCCCCGCCCACAAAGTCCGGAGCCTCAGCAAGCTCTCGGAGTGGCCGCTGCCTTGCGAGGGCTTCCAGGGGCCTGGACCCAGAACTGCCGGGATTCTACTTGATGCTTGGGGTGCAGGGTAATGGGTATGGGATGTGGCGTTCAGTGTTTGTTATGTGTTTTTCTTTTGGGGGCCTTTTTCCAGTGCGCATCTGAGGGCAGGCCTTGAATGCCTTTTTTTAGAACACAACCCTCTGGCGTTAAAGGCTTAGGGCTTGGGGAAAATGATCTCTACACCTTTCGATAGATTGCAAGTGAGATTGCAGCTTCCGTCATAGAGTTTGGTAGTAACACTCGACATGCCCAGGCCAACTTTCTCTCTTGATTTCTGGCTCGCGCTGGATTTTCGTACTCGTACTGGGACTGTGTGCAGCGTTCCTTTTCACGCAAATTCCGAGCAGTCTAACCGCAGCAGGCAGCAGCAGCAGCAGCAGCAGCAGCAGCACTAGTAAACATGACGGCAGTGGTACTCCAAAGGAGGTGTCGCTGGCGGTACTAGCGTAGCAGCGTACAATTGCGAGAAAGAGCAAAGAATGTCCAGGACGCAGCGCCGTGCTCGAAATTTTAGCATCAATTGACCACGTAATGCACTGAACAAAGTCAAAGCCATTCGAATTCCATTGGACATGCAGCACAGAGGCACCACGGACATGCTGAACGTCACGTTAGGCCGCCGGCGAAAGGCCCCACGCTCCTTCAGCACCGCCTGCTCTGCGCTAGGAAATCGCTGGGGGCATCTCTGGAAATTGCTGACTATGGACTGCCATGATATATATATATATATATATATATATACATATATACATATATATATATATATATACATACATGTATATATATATATATGAATATATACATACATAAAAGACATATATAAACACTGCTGTTACATATAAATGTGTATATATATATATATATATGTGCACATCTAAATACACACGGTACAGTCTTATATGGCTGGCCTTGTAGTTGCCCTCTGCGACAAACACCCGCGCCGCCCTCAGGTACCCCTGCCGAGTCCGCAAATTCCTCCCAATGCTCCCTGAATCAAGAGCCACGTAACCTACTAGATAGATAGATGGGTAGATTGATAGGTAGATAGACACATACCAGTAGTTAAGTATCATATATACATGAATGAACAAATAAGTGTGTATCTAATTATGTATATACACACAGGTCTGTATGTATATCTGCTGAAAGGCACACACACACACACACACACCACAACCCTATGGCCTCGATCGTGGAGCATGTGCTCAGCAAGTGCTTCCATCGGGAATCAGTGTGATAGGCCTTCCACAGCGTCGCGAGTGTGCGCGGTATGGGGCATGGTTGGGCTTCTGAAGTCAGTGTGGCTGTAGTGGAGGCGGCACGCTGCAAGGATCATGAGAGACCATAGTGCTGATGATTGAGATAATTTGATAATGATGGCAGCAGTGAACATGATAGGGAGGGAAAGTGAGCAGTGCCCGTTCACAATCAAGACGGCAGCACTTTAGCAACTGCAGCGGTACCAGCAAAATCAATTTAGCAGCTTTGCATGTGCACACTCAGACTTCATCTATCTCCTCTTAACAAGAAGGGGTCGCCAATGTTACCATCAATGAGAGGCGGTGATGTCGTGCTCGAGATGGAAGACCGGGAAGCTTATCCTGAATGTGCGAAACCAGAAGATATTCTTGTACCTCGAACCTCCCCAATCGCGGAGTTCTCTATCGCCAATCTGCTGAGTAAGACTGGCTAGCCCTAAGAGACCCAAACCCTGCGCCTCTAGCTGAACCGTGTCCACGACCAGCCGCAGTCGGCCGAACCACTCGCAGCCGCGATCAGCGAAGACGCAGCTCAGGGCCTCAGAACAGAATGTGGAGACTATCGCGGAGCATGCATGTACATCCGCATGAATGAAGGAAGGGGAGGAAGGAAGGAATGCGTAAATACACACAGGCTTATAGAACAGTGTATGTACTCATGTATGTGAAGATACACCACCTGTGTGTATGCTTGCGTCGAAGTCTGATACGGCGCAAGATACATAGGGTACTCAAAGACACAGAGCTTGGCAAGCTACACAGTCCTGTTCCGAACTGGCTCCATGTTGAAGACAGGCTACGAGCCTTGACAGGAACCCTAAGCCCTAAGCCACAAAGAAGCATCCAGAGATGAAGGCTCTGTTCCACCCGGACCCGGGCATCCAGAACTTCCAACCCAGACTTGAAAGCCTCAACCCGGAACCTGGATCCTGGAAATGCTCCTTCTGACAGCTTGCCTGCTTGTCCCCGCTGACGGCTTGATCGAGCACGTCACAGACGCTCTCAGCCTTCCATCTTCAGGGCATCGGGCTCAGGGGGTGCGGGTTTCAATTTTGGAGCTTTGCATGGTAGCGGTCTCTGTGTTGGAAGGCTCCTTGCTCACTCAAGCCTGTGGTGTATGTAGTTGTGGTCTCCAATGCGAAAGCAGGTGCTGATACCTTACAAATCCTTACAAGACACAAGTACCCGTAACGCTTGAGCGTGCCGCTAAGCCCTAAACTCTTCACAAAGAAGCCGAACCCCCTGGTTGGTGGCCGAGCCCTAAATCCCATCAGCTTCAACACCCTCAGCCTCAAGTGACCGGAGTCACAGGTTCTAAGGTCATCGGCCCAGAGATGTGCAGGCCTAAAGCCGAGACAGCCGAGACACACCTTCAACCCCAAACGCCTTTTGCAGTTTTTTTGCGTTGTGGCCGGGCTCTGTTTCCAGGTTTGCGTTGTTTTTTGCATTTTGGCCGGCCGCCGCTTCCAGGATTGCATTTTTGTTCGCACGTTGGTCGTCCTCAGGATTTAGGCGTGCCTTATGGCGTGCCCTCGCTTCGCTTTTTTTTCGGGCCCCGGCCGCCTCAGCCCAAGAAAATGCAAAAAAAGGCAACGCTAAATTCAGACAGGGCAACAAACACAAAAGAAATGCAAACAGCAAATCCAAAAATAACGCAACACATTTAAAACAAAACGCAAACAGCAAATGCAAAAACAATGCAAAATAAATGCAAAACAAAATTCCAAACGCTGACCCAGTCGCCCAAAGATTCTTAAAAGTCTAGCACAAGTATTGCTTGCAAGCCGTTGTTCTCACCTGCATCGTCCAAATCACTGGAACTCCCCCCGGCATTTTAAGCCCGCCACAAACCCAGCATCCTAAACCCTGAAGCGCCAACGTAAGGCATAACCCTGAAACTGAAAATCCTCAAATCCTAAGGTCATTCCTAATCTACGCCCCCCCCCCCTCTTCCCTTGCAAAACCAGCCGGCTGCCTTTTTCATGAGGTCGGCTTCCTTAGCCTTCTTCTGCACCGAGCCCGCCGAGGCTTCGTCCACCTGGGCCACAGTGGGACTTCTACATCTGGCGCTGAAAGAGCGACTGGATACAATGGGCTTTTGAGATACGTTCTAGTTCTAGTAGAACTATATCGGACAGCCCTATACAGTTCATAAAGGACTACGAGGAGATAGTCTAGGCGGAAGTGAAGGCTTCCCGCGGCTTTCCAGGATCTCCGTACAAGCGCCTGCTTTGGGCTCTAGGATATACGTTGACATCAGCCGCGGTAGCAACCCTCAGATCCAGAGACCCCAAGATCCCTTAACTAAGGATCATACCTTCAATTATGGTAGGATCTCTAATCTGATCTAAGGAATATTCCTTAATTAAGGGATATTGGAGTCTCTGTGGTGTTGCTATGATTTCTTGACCCTGGACATCAAGACCCACGCCCTCTTCGATTATGTTCGAGGACTTCGTCCCCCCTGTAGGGTCTACATCCACCTGATTTGATTAGAGTCGACCTCAACTGCAAATCCTAAGCTGCAGCTACCGCTGCTTGTGGAGGGGTCTATTTCGGAATTTTGGGACTACAGAGGGGTCCGAGATTATAGTATATCATTTTTCAAGCGAGCTTTGGGGTTTTCCATGGACGGCAAAGTCCTCGGAACCCTGGCGGACCCTAAAACCTCCCTACCTAAGCTGAACATCTAAGGAACTTCCTGCAAAACATTGCGAAATCGTCCCAGACATGCAACAAAGACATGAAGCGTTTGCATGAAACAACTGTTGGCATCGTAGGCATCCAATCCAAAAGCCACAAAAAAATCCCGCTCCCATCACCTGCGTGGCCTCTCTCTGAGATAGATGCCATGTCTGCCGCATCCTCGATACTCCGCATGGCAAGGTCAAAGTCAGCCTGCCGGCTTTGAGGCCGGATTTGGGTTTCGGGGTGTCTAGATAGTTGGGCGTTGGCTTTTTGAGGTCTTGGGGATCGGTGCTATCTTCCGGTTTGGGCTCTAGGCTCGGGGACTTTAGTTGAAAGCTACCCGCCCAAAAGCCCGCTCCAAAACTCTTAAATCACGTCTATATGGGCATGAACTCGTCTATGAACATGAGGTTCAGTGCCATAATAATCATGTTGGTGGTAGCCGTGAAGAAAAGTAAAACCATCTTAGAATCTTCCGTGAACCTGGACCCTAGGCAGAATGGCCTTGTCCGGCAGAGCAAGCCTTGGGGGCATGCTAGGACGAGTTTTGAGTTCATGTCGGCCGTCACGGGACAAGGTTGCGCATATAAGTCCACACGGAGGACGGATATCTCAAACCTTACACTGGAAGACATGCTTCAAGCCACAACAATATTAATTCTACACCGTCTGCGCAACTCATACTGCAACGAAGGTCTGGAGTTAGGACCCGTCCTCCTCTTGAAGCCGAATCACCATCAATTTCAAGCCCCAAATTCTGAAAAGAAGCTGAAGCCCCGTGAGGAAGCAGCTCTGCTGTAAACTGTGGGATGGGTGCTCGAGAATGCCGGTATGCTCCGGCATTTCTCATCTGGAATGTTGTGATGTGCAAGGGAGTTGGAGAATAAACCAGTCTCATGCAAACTCGCTTATACTCTATTTGATAACGGAACATTCTTCGGCCCCTGTAGTGCAACAAGTGTCCGCAGCTTCCGGTCAACCTGTTATTTCCGAGTGAAATATGCAGCCTGACATGTAACCCTAACGGTAAAGACCTTAATTCCAATATGCAAGAGCCAACCCTAAACCCTTTCAAGCCCTAGGCCGCAAACCCTGTGAGAACCTTGAAACCCTGCAAGCCGTAATAACAAGCCCCAAACCCCGTAAGAATCCTTCATAAAGGAACCCTGAAGAGCCGACAACCCCCGCTGAGTCCAAGCATCTGAAGAGTGCCATCAGCAGCAGGCATCTGCAGACACATCAGCGCGATGGGGCCGGCAAAGTCTGCCAGGAAGTCTAAGGGCCCACCTGGGTGGGCCTCCCCATCGGCAGCGATCATGAAAGCGTCAGCAACCACAGACCTCGCGTAGAGGTTCGCGCCTTGGCGAGCGCCATCCTTGGTCGTGTACCGTGCTGACACCTGGTCATCCTTGACGCGGACCATCTCGACATCACCGCGGTTGATGGAATCCATGAAGTCAGAGTAGTTCACGACATCCGCTGCCATGGCAGGCTGCAGGCTGACACTGAAAGTCAACAGCAAGGATGCGGCAGCACCGGCTGCCCAGCGGAGCTGTTTCTCAGCGCCCTCGCGCAGCGCATCGCTTGCACCGGTGGCTACTTCAGCAAAGGCTCGGGCAGCCGGGCCAGAGAGGGCGGCACCACGTCGCAGTTCTGCCACGGCAAAGGCCTGGAGCTGCTGCACCAGAAGCGCCAGCTGTTGTGGCTCTGGTTGACTCAGAAGCTGCTCGGCCAAGGCCACCAGCTCGGAAAGTCCTTCGGGGCTCTCGTGCCCCCCCTGCGACGGCGCCAGTGTCGATGCACTCGCACCGGAAGCTGCCATGTTTCAGGTGGCTTCGTCACTAGTGGAAGTGCTGCCGACTTGGCTGCGTGTCTGGGCCTGCATCCAGCAAAGGAGAAGTAAACCCCATATATATATATATATGCGGATTTTCTATGCACCCTACTTAAGCCCGCAATAAACTCAAAATTACAGAAACTTATAGAAACCCTGTGAATATCCTGTGCAGAAACCCTCTTGTGGGCCCAAATATCGCCTGATCCAATAGCCCTTTCTATGGAGCACCAAATATCGGCTGGTACAATAGCCCTTTCTAACCCTCTCTAATCGCCTCATACAATAGCCATTTCGAGAGCCCCTAAACTATCTCTAATCGCCTAACACAATAGCCACTTCGAGAGCCCCTAAACCCTCTCTAATCTCCTTATACAATAGCCCCTTCTAAAGGCCCTAAACCCTAGAAAAACCCTAAAGAAATCGAAAGAGCACAGTTGGTGCTCGGGCCACGGTCTTTTTCTTGCAGAACTGCTAGGACGGTCGGGGCCCCATGTGTCCTGCGAGCAGACCGTGAGGGATCGTCTCCGGGACGGTCGTGGTTTGATAGAGGAGGTTTCGAGCAAGAATGTCGACATTCAGACTCCTTGTGCCTACGGCGATGTGCTGCTGCCTATCCTTAGAAGGATGAAGGATGCTGCTAAAAAGTTGCCGGGCATCGATTCCCTCCGGGAGCAAGTTACAGCCTTGCTGGAGATGAACAAGCGGGAACCCGAGGAGACCCTGATTGTTCCGACATTATGCCAACATCAAAGCTCCAGAACTAGCAACAGGTGCAATCTATGCCACGTTGGGCTTTCAAAAAGTCTCGAGTGCTCAAGTCAAACAATGGCTTAGGGGATCGCTCTAAAAGGGCACTGGAAACGTATGAAACATTACAGAAAATAGTCAAGTGATACTAACCTAAGTACAGTAGGAAAACTCATCTCCAAACTCCATGCAAAATATGTAGGCACTAAAAAAGGCTACGGCAATCTGCGTGCCTCGAAAACGAACATCTCTCGACCTTGCAGATCGAGAGATGTTCTCAGTCCTGCGAAGCGGCTGCATTCCGAAAGCTTGCGGCTTCGCGTCTGAGGTTTGGGGGTGTTCAGAAACCCCTCTTCTAATGCTAATCTCTTTATTCTGAGCCCTGATGTGCCGGGTTTGAACCCAAAACCATGGAGAGTCCCACAACCTCTCCTTTGGTCCCTTCGTTACAGCAAACCCAAATATTTCCAATAGCTCAAGAACCCTGAAACTTTGCAACGTTTCCTGGGGTCCCATGGAACCCTTGCAGGAGAATTCTTATGGAAGCCTTAAAGGAACCTTCACAGAATCCTCATAGAGGCCTTCAAGGAACCTCTACTATAGAAGCCATAAAGGATCCCCTATACAAATCTTAGAGATGCCTCAAAAGGAACCTTTTTAAAACCCGTCCAGCAGCCTTAAAGGAACCCCTATAGAAGCCTTCAAGGAAGCCTTGTACAACCGTTATGGAAGCCTATACCCCACAGCCCATAGCCTTTTGCCCAGACCCCATCCTTGTGGAGGACGCACTAGTATCGCGGGGCCTCAAGGCCAGCTCAACCCCGAGGACGCACTGTTTGCATGAGGAGGCTCACACTGCTCGTGCCTCTGCCGCCTCACGCGGCTCCGGCCCTGACAGTTCGGAGTCCAAGTCAGGGACTTGTGTCATATGTCGGCATGCATACACACATACATACATACATACATACATAATTTAATACATACATTTAATACATACATATGTATGCACCGACGTGCATAGCTGCATACATACATCATACATGCATTGATATGCGTGTGCTGCTGGGTATCACACATGCGCATTGAGTCACTTAAATCTGTATATATGTCTGGACAGGGTGCTGAAAGCATCAGATCTCAACATCAACTTCGGAGTTTGCTCTGCTTCCATCTAGAACTCCAAAATCAACGAGCTTGATGTGTTCGCTTGCGTTCACTTCGAGTTTGGGGGCATTTTTCCCGGTCAGTTTGAGAACTGCACGTCCTCTAGTATCGATAGGGTCTGACCTTGCAGCTGACAGTGTCTTGTGGTAAAAGCTGATACTTAAGGGTTGTGCACTGCATTGACGTTGGATTTGTCTATCTCGTGTTAATCTGCTGAAACAAAAATGCTATGCCGCACGTGGCGCCCACACGAAGGCCCCCAATGACCCTTGAAGGGCTCATGCAAAGTCGACCGATTCCGACAGGGGTGAAGGCAAATACGGGTAATCCTATGGTGTCCAACAGAGTTTGCTGTCGGGTTTCTTGCAACCGTTGCTTGCAGACACCATGCAGCCGATGAGGCTCTGACGCGCTCTGGACCTCGGCCCAGCGCCTGAGTCAATGAATGTCCACGCACCACCCGCCAACACATGCGTCTTGGAGACAATTACGGCATCGGCCGCCCTTTGCTTCGCTACCTATGAAAGCCTCGGGAAAGTCCAGGTAGTACTGGAGTTTCTGAAAGCAGCTACGAAGCCTCAAAACCGCAAACAGAGAGCTACAAGTTCAGAGTGGAAGGGGCAGCAGCAGCAAATTGTCGAGCAGCGCACCGCAAGAGTGGTTGATTTATTGGTCATGTTTAGTATGGATACCGAAAACAGAGAGCTACAAGTTCAGAGTGGAAGGGGCAGCAGCACCAAATTGTCGAGCAGCGCACCGCAAGAGTGGTTGATTTATTGGTCATGTTTAGTATGGATACCGAAAACAGAGAGCTACAAGTTCAGAGTGGAAGGGGCAGCAGCAGCAAATTGTCGAGCAGCGCACCGCAAGAGTGGTTAATTTATTGGCCATGTTTAGTATGGATACCGAAAACAGAGAGCTACAAGTTCAGAGTGGAAGAGGCAGCAGCAGCAGCAGCAAAATGTCGAGCAGCGCACCGCAAGAGTGGTTAATTCATTGGTCATCTTTCGTATGGATAGGTGACGTGCCACTGTCAGTGCACGAGGTCTCTTGCAAGAGCTCGATTGACCTTAAATTGAAGAAATGCTTTCTCGGCACTGGTTGGGGATTGTCTTTGCTCAGCTACCCATAGCTCATACATCCCAAAAAAAACCTCCTACAGCCGGAAGTAAAGCCTCAAGTCACACAACGCGCCTTCTTCAGGGCGGCCGCTTTTAGCCGCCCTGCCCTCTCCCGCATGGATACCTCCAGTTTCGACATGCTATGAATACGGTACGGTATTCTTACTTGCCAAGGGCTTCTGGGTCCAACCTGGCATGCTGCACTGATGTGCTACAACTGCAAGACGTACGAGTAGCGATTCGGAAGTTTCCGATCCCTTCTTGTCATTGCCGCCCTGGCGCCTCGCTGAATGGTTTTGGGTTTTAGGATTTTAGACTTTAGGGTTTTGGTCCTGGGGCTTGTTGAGTTTGAGGGCTTAGGCAGTACACTGCAAGCTGGGTTTCTGCAGTTAGATCCGCCCTGAAACCCCGAGGCATCCCCTCGCCCGATCTCATCAGCTATTGCACGTCCCGGAAGTGAGGTCCCGGTGGTTTAGGGTCTAGGCTTTAGCCCCAAAACCATAAACCGTTTGGGTTTAAGAGTTACTGCTTATAAAGGTTTGGGGGTCCAGGGGCAAGGTTGAGGTTTTACATGGGTTGGAGAAGCCAAACCTTGCACAGTTGAAAAAAAACCGTCCATAACCCCCGCAACCAAGAGGCGTACACACCAAAACCATAAGTGATAACCTCGACCCAACAGACCCAGAAATCCCAAACGGCCATCCTCAGCCAAAGTGCGGTCCGGCGTAGGATGAGGGTCGAGGAGGTGCGTTCAGGGTTTAGGGTTTGATGGGCTCCAGGGTCTATCGTTGTTAGCTGATCAGGCGAACCAACGAATCGATGCAGCACCAAGCAACAGGATACGAAGCCGCCGGGCCTTTTTTCCCTAAACCCGATGACGCGGTGGCCTCCGCATCATGGAAGCTGTCACCGTACGTTGCTTCTACCTGGCATGGAAACTGGGGCTTGTTCAGGTGTGCCAGAGCTTTTGGATCACTGAGCTCCGCAACAAGAGAATCTGAAGAAAAACAGCTTCTTATTTAGTGCAAACTCAAACCTGGATCTGCAGCCTTGAACTCGAATCCTCGCACTCCCAGCCCCACGCGAATTACCATCCCACCAGCCATGAGTGTGCAAAACAACCTCACATCCATTACAGAAGTCCGAATAACTAATTAGACTGATGCTGCAACGAATGAAGGGCCCTGTCGTCACTCAGGGTTGCTTAGGATCTTAGACCAGCAGTAAACCATTAACATGCCCATGTCAAGATGGTCCCCTCGACAAAAATAAGCCTCCATCCTCAACAGACTGCAGCCTAGGCCTAAGCTCCTAAAAATCCCCATGAACCCTAAACCGCTTGCCCCAAAACCCCGTACTTCCGGAAATGCTACTCCGACATCCTTTAGGCTGGACATGGCTGGGCCCAACTCTTTGCCTTGTCTCCTTCCTTGAGCTCTGCGGGGGGCGCGGCCTCTTTCTCCTGAATGTAAGCACAGTGCTGGCGTAAGTGCGGCGCCGTCCAAATTTTACGGAGCCTCTAAATTACTCAAGGCCCCTGCCCCCTAGAGTGCCTTTACAGTCCTTGTTATAGGAATGGCGTGCAGGGGTGGGGGTCCAGTCTAAAGGAGGAACTCAATTTTTACAACTGCTTCAGTGGTAAGTCTTCCTTTCAGACTTGAGCCAGCGCCGCTTTAATTACCAAAAACCTCTGCAAACCTGACCTCTGCTACGCCGTACAAGGTTTAGGGTTTAGGGACACTGAACACATGAGTGCAGCAGCCGTGCCTGGGAGTCCGGCTTGAGCTTGACTTCAGAAGCATCCAGTTCCGCTTCGGAGCCGTCATGGCCTGAAGGCGGCGATTGCGACTAGTACAAACACTATTACTATTACTATCACTATCACTGTCACTATTATGACTATTACCATTATTCGTAGTAATACTAGAACTACTAGTACCTTACTAGTACTTGTACTATTACTGATAAGATTCCGATTACTATTACTACTATTTCTAATTACCACGGTTATTCTTATTATTACAATTTGATTCTACCCGTATTTCCGGTATCTTACTCCTCCGGGCAAGGCTCAACACTGAGAATATCAAGGGGGGCCTCAATCCGAAAAACGCGAAGCCGGAACCCTAAGGAGCTCTCTCTCTCTGTCTCGGTCTGCGGTGCCATCTAGCTGCAGGACTGGAACGTGCCCAGAAGCATTCTAGACTTAAGCCTATGACATATATATATATATATATATATATATAGAAAATGTGTATATATATATATATATATATATATACCTGAACCCCCAACTCATAAAGCAACACACATTCACCTTGTAGTAGCCCTTAAGGGCAACCCTGCAAGGAACCCTTTCCGTGTCCCTTCAAGTCGCCTTCAACTCCGAAACCCACGAGCCGCCAAGTTGCTCCACTTGAGCCACTTGAGCTTCACTTTGCCATCCTCCATGGACCTTACTGACCACATGTTCCTTACAAGTACGGGCCCTATACCCTGATACTATGAGCCCCTCTAATTCGGGTATGTGAACCTTAAACCCCTTTAGGGTTCATTTCGTCTCTAAGGGACATGGACAGGACTTCGGCGTCGTAGAAGCTGCTGCCGTACTTGGCCTCGACCTCGGGCCAGAGTACGAGGTTTGAAGTTGGCTTTGTTTGGGCTGCGTTGGAGTTTGGGGCTTCCGTCTGGGTACCTGAGATTGTATTAGGCTTCATGCCTAGAGTTTGATATTGGAATTGCTTCGTAGGGTTGTTTTGGGCGTTTGGGGTTGCGGGCTTGGGGTTGTTTCAGACTTTTCCGGGTTTTGGATTCAAGATGATTCAAGTATATTTTGCGGGAGGGGGGTTGGGGGTTTAGGTTTTGAATTGTTCTAGAAGTTTCGGCTTAGGGTGTGCTTTAAAAGTTTGGGGGTATGGGGTTCCTGTTGCTGCTGTTACGTTGCTGCTGTGCATCACGAGCATCACCTTCATCGCGGGGATTGTCGCTACCTTTTGTTCGTGGTGTTTGCAAGACCACTGGCGGCATCAACATGCTTGCTGGCCCCCTCTTTACTTTCATCAGTTGCATAGTATTCACGATCTCTGGCTCCTAGAACAAATACTGGAAGCCCATACTCTTGACTCTAGCTGTTTACACCCATCCATTTTTTCCATGCACTTCTAACAGTCCGGCGATAGCGATTTGTCAAAGGAGAATACTGTTCGGATACTACCAAGTAGCACTAAGACCCTCCGCGCCTTGTCTCCGGCACTGAATTCCACGACCTCTTGTGCATCTTGCGCCGCCTTCTGCCTTAGGCTCAAGAGTTTCGGAGAGTCCGGCATGCCGGAGAGAGCTGTTCTACTGCAAGGACCTGGATAAAAGGGATGGTGGTAGATCAAATACATGGATTCTGAGGGCGTATTTTTTCCAATTCTTCACACTTTTCCAGCAGATCAAGCCGACCATGTTCATGGTCTGCTACCATGTGGTACTTCAGGAATGTGTAACGTGCAGGGTCCTATCAGAGCTGTGGTAGTCGTAGCAGTAGGCCGTGGTAGTAGGAGTAGTCGTCGTCGTAGTAGTAGAAGAATAGTAGTCGTCGTGGTGATGGTGGTGGTAGTTGTAGTTGTAGTGAGTTGCAGTAGCAGTAGAGGTTGTAGAGGTGGTGGTAGTAGTCGTAGTCGTAGTCGTAGTCGTAGTCGTAGTAGTAGTAGTAGTAGTAGTAGTAGTAGTAGGAGTAGGAGCAGGAGCAGGAGTAGGAGTAGGAGCAGGAGTAGGAGTCGCCGTCGACGTCGTAGTAGTAGTAGTAGTAGTAGTAGAAGTAGAAGTAGAAGTAGTAGTAGCAGTAGTAGTAGTAGTAGGAGTAGGAGCAGGAGCAGGAGTAGGAGTAGGAGTAGGAGTCGTCGTCGACGTCGTAGTAGTAGTAGTAGTAGAAGTAGAAGTAGAAGTAGTAGTAGCAGTAGTAGTAGTAGCAGTAGTAGTAGTAGTAGTAGCAGTAGCAGTAGCAGTAGCAGTAGCAGTGCTGAAGCTGCAGCGTGATCTAAGGCTTATGGTTCAGGATTGTTCTAGGTTTGGGTTTTTCTCTGGCAAGGTTTAGGCTGTAGGACTCAGCAGCGCTGCACATCAATCCCTCTCTTTTCTTGTGGCACTCTCGAAGTCGTCTTGATGCGTGCTTCCGAGTAAAGGGAACTGCTGGAAACAGTACTCATGACTGTATGTATGGATTTCGGCGCTTCAAACTCGATGATTCTAGGGGGGTGAGATGGTCTAAAAAATGGTGTGGGAACCACGAAAACCTCACAGCCCTGCATTCCTGATCCTAGTGTGGAGGCATTGTGAAGCCCACCGGCAGCCGAACCCTTTGCTCATACTCCTCACCCAGGCACAGCTCAAGAAGCTTGGCGCCATCCTTTCCACTGATTGGTTTCTTGGAGACAGCGGCAGGGACCTCGAGGAAGTTTCGAGATTTTCGGGTTTGGGGCTCGAGGATTCAGGTTGCAGGGCTAAGACCGAGTTTTGTAGGGGGTTTGGGCTTTGGAAAGCAGGAGGGCAAATGAACGGCAGGCCTCCTGGGCTTTAGCGATGGATAAGCTGAACTCATTCCTTTGGGCGCATTTTTGGCTAAGCATTGTATCAGAGTATACTATTATTATACACGGCACTTCCTTGCGTTCATGGGTCGTACACTGCCCTCAGTACAACGTGGCCGGTCTTCAATCCTTTGACGGGTACAGGGTTTAGGGTTAGGGGTTTAGGTTTTAGTCTAGTAGAAATAAGGAGTTTAGAAGGTATAGGGGTCTATTTGTTCGGATATTGGGAAGTCGTCGCAAGGTTGAACCGTTGCCTCCAGAATCATGCTGGGTTGGCGGGCCTTCGAATGCAGGAGAGGCGGGAGCTCCTGTGCGAGGATTGCAGAGCTTCCGGGATAAGACTTGGAAGATGCTGGCACTTCGATGCGACGGGTTCTTATCACTGAGTCGTATGCACAGTGTCTGCGATGTTCGGCAAACCAAACTCACAGGCCGTGCAAGTTCTCGGGTCCTCTTTCACTTCGGCCGCCCTTTGCTGCGCTACCTATGAAAGGCTCGGGAAAGTCCAGGTAGTACTGGAGTTTCTGAAAGCAGCTACGAAGCCTCAAACCGCAAACAGAGAGCTACAAGTTCAGAGTGGCAGCAGCAGCAAAATGTCGAGCAGCGCACCGCAAGAGTGGTTAATTAATTGGTCATCTTTCGTATGGATAGGTGACGTGCCACTGTCAGTGCACGAGGTCTCTTGCAAGAGCTCGATTGACCTTAAATTGAAGAAATGCTTTCTCGGCACTGGTTGGGGATTGTAGTTTCTGCGCTTTGCTCAGCTACCCATAGCTCATACATCCAAAAAAAAACCTCCTAAAGCCGGAAGTAAAGCCTCAAGTCACACAACGCGCCTTCTTCATGAGGGCGGCTGCCCTCTCCCGCATGGATACCTCCAGTTTCGACATGCTATGAATACGGTACGGTATTCTTACTTGCCAAGGGCTTCAGAACAGAAGCTCGCACACATGGATGGCACCCCCCCCCCGGCACCCACACCGCCCCCACCGCCCTCACCACGCGCACCACCCCCCACCGCTCTCACCACCCTCACTGCCGCTACCACCCTCACCACCGCCACCGGACCTAATTTTCATATCGCGTTTCTCTGCTACACCCGAAAAACCCAGCCCAGACCCGACCACTCAAACCCAGGCCCCATTAGACCCAGCCCAAAACCCGACCACTCAAACCCAAACCCTATTAAACCCTGAGGCCCTAAACCCCTAACCGCCACGGAGGGCGCCCTAAACCCCTAACCGCCACGGAGGGCGCCCTAAACCTCTAACCGCCACGGAGGGCGAAACCCTATTGCCAGCCTACAACTACTACCCCGCCCCCCACCCCTTCAAAACACCGGCCTCCCGCTGTCGATTTGTGCGTGTCATCTTTGCGCGGAGCCATGCTTATCTTCTCTGTGTCGTTCCAAGTACTTTGGTACCACACACTTCTCGATTCGTGCGTGTCATCCTTGCGCAGGAGCCTAATCGGAGAATTCCCTTGGGCATCCTACACCCTAGTGTACTATAGAAATGTTACAAATAAAACACTATGACATGTAATTTTCTAAACCCCTGATAGCGAGCACTCTGGCAGAGCGACAGTGAAGTCTCCATGGGGGCTGCTCGTCCTCTTGCCTCCTTCTGGGGTCGGCGGCATTGGCGGCAGCCATTAAATCGGGCAGCGCTCGCTGCCCTGTATGGTCTGAGCTTGGCTCAGCCGAAGGAGGGAGTTTCTGCGAAGCAAAAGCCACGACCGCCTGCACCGCCGACCCGCCGCCGACCCTGCTTCATCCTCCATCGGGCCGCGCGGGCCCTCGCCCGGAGGCTTCTCGGAACGCGCACGTGTTATGCAGCCATTCCCCAACGGGTTTCGCGGTTTTGAGTTGGTTTGGGAAGCCCCAAAGGGGCGCGCATCATGAGCATCAGCGGGGTTCGGCGGAGCGCGGGTGCGGGCTGCCGACGAGGGCTGAGAGGGCAAGGGGAGGGGAAAACACAAGGGCGGGTGCGTGCCCTAGCTTCAGGCTTCTACCTGCGCTGCCCGCACCTGGGCGCAGCCCCTAGAATAATGATAAGCATAATCAGACGTACCAGTGCCAACAAAACAACAGCAACATTACATAGCAGAAATGCCGCAGACACTAAGCACCACAATGCCAAACCTTCTTGGCATAGAGCTCCTCCTTTTCGCCGGAGTGCTCCTGTGATGGAGATGTCGGACTGGTGCAGGCTTAACGGGACAGGCATAGGCTCGGCAGTCGCAGGTTTGGCAACTGTGCTTGAAAGACATGAGGTGCAGCGAGCGTAATTAAATCGAAGTTTTTACACCATAGAACGGCAGCAACAAAGCAACAGCCTGCAAGTTTTCGGGGTAAGACGTGCAAAAGGGGCTGTTATAATTCGATGCTTTTGCTTCGTTCAATACACGGCATATCACGGTCCTGGATCTTCTGGGTGAGCTTCTTTTCGTTGTCCTCGCGGCTTCGATCCGAGAACCCAAAGCTTTGGAGAGTTGGTTTCCATTTTCAGGCATGGAGTGGTAGCCCATGGAAGGCCAAGAGAACGACTCTTCGAAGTATAGTTTAAAAAGTATAGTATAGTATAGTATAGATTAGCAAACAAAGTAATCCCCATAAGGCAGCAAACAGGCTTGGACGACCCGCCCATCATACTGAGCCGGGACACTCACATCATAGGCTATTTCAGACAAGATTGCTGTCAAGGTATGAGGGGCCTTGCAGGAGATCGTTGTTGAAAAACAGCAAACAACCCAGTTGGACAAACCCTGATTCAGAGGCTCACCACAACTGAGCATAACCACTCCTCTCCTCAGTAGGCTTCCAGTGACGACAGAAAAAACATGCAGCCAAGGTCGAAGTGAGTTTGTGTTGCGAGGTGGCTCGTGTAGTAGTAGTAGTAGTAGTAGTAGTAGTAGTAGTAGTAGTAGTAGTAGTAGTAGTAGTAGTAGTAGTAGTAATAGTAGTAGTAGTAGTAGTAGTAGTAGTAGTAGTAGTAGTAGTAGTAGTAGTAGTACTAGTAGTAGTAGTAGTAGTAGAAGAAGTAGTAGTAGTAGTAGCAGTAGTAGTAGTAGTAGTAGCAGTAGTAGTAGTAGTAGTAGTGGTAGTAGTAGTAGTAGTAGTAGTGGTGGTGGTGGTGGTAGTGGTAGTGGTAGTGGTAGTGGTAGTGGTAGTGGTAGTGGCAGTGGTAGTGGTAGTGGTAGTGGTAGTGGTACTGGTACTGGTACTGGTACTGGTAGTGGTAGTGGTAGTGGTAGTGGTAGTCGTAATTGTAATAGTACTAGGACGCTCCCCTTTTCGCAGGCTTTGATCCGAAGTGAGGTTAATCCCGACGTGTCCTCGGCAGCACGAAACAAGGCAGCCTGGGTCTTCAAGCGAAGGTTGTCCAAGTCTTCCTGAGGGACAAAACGATGACCAGGGTGCTGAAGAGCCCTGCAGCCCCGTGAAACCCTATAAAGGCCTGATACGCAACCCGATAGAGCCATGATAGAACTGTTACACTGTTATACTTCACCCCGCCTCTTCCGTCTTCATGTGTGCTACCTCCTGGGAGTCGGTGATGTCTTCCAGCTCTTTCGCAATGGGTGGCAGCTCCGGCGCCTTTTGTCGAAGATCTGCGAAAACTTTACATGGCCTTTACATGTGCGCAGCTGAGTGGCATTCGTCTTCAGATGCAGCCCCCGTTACAGCACAATCGAATTCTGAGTCGACGCTTCTTCCTGCTTCCATGTCAAGGATGTGGCGATGCTCAACAGCAAACCCCGAGGCGGAAAGGTTCTCGGCCGACCTGAACCTGCCAAGTCCTTGAAGCCCTTAAGCAGTCTTTACGCATGTCATTTTGCCCAGGTTTCTGGCCTGCTGTCACAGCTACGGTAGAATGCTTACGATACTCTGCTTACCCTTGGGACGGCAGGTTGCAATGATGCCAGTGGTGGTGCACCGTCTCTGGCTCTTCCTGCCTCTTGAGAATGGCTCAGGGTGTTCTCGAGGGACACAAAACTTCCACGTGCAACTCGCTCTTAATCCTCCTCCTCCTCCCGACAGCGAGGAATGCCAGTACTAATCATAACAATAGTAATCATACGCATAATACTATAATTCTAAAACAATAACAATAACAATGACAATATCAAGAAAACTATTAATGCCAATATCTGCTACAATAAATAATTTACTAGCAGTCATGTAGCAATATCAAAATAAATCGACAATAGCCATAGTACTAGTACTATTATGATAACAATACTAAGAATAAATATGAAAACATTCATGATATGAGTAACCGTAGTAGTACTGCTACTCATAATGAATGAAACTACGAACAAGAACAACAGTCATGATCCCAATGATGTCAGTAATACCAATACTATCAACAAATACTAAGCAGGACCCCAAATGCATCCGCTCTACAACAGCACAAACCCTCGCCCAAGGCCAAGGACGAAAAACACATGTGCTCGCTTGCCCCAACTCTGTGCCTTGCTCCCCAAGACTTCCTGCAAGGATCCATCCTGGAGTCAAAACATGCTGTTGGGGTCTTGGGCAGGCCTTGGGGCACTTGGACTTCAGGCTGTTCTCAAGAAGTTGATGTGACGTTGATGTGTATGGATAGGTAGGTAGCTAGCTGGGTCGTTCGTGGGTTAGGTAGCACGTTGGCGAGCTATGATTTTGGTTTAGTTTAGTCTGTGGCAGCTTTGTTCAATGTAGTTTAGGTAGTTGTTAACTGTTACCCGAAACGAATGACGGTTTCACCGGTTTGCTATGGAGGATGCTGTCTTCCACGTACCACTCATACAAAGCAATATTCTCGGCTTCATCAGCACGGCAACTCTGAGCTCCAAGCCGCGTGCTATTCAGCGTGTTATGTAGGAACCCGACCGTGCCTGCTCGCTTCGTTCTGGTTGATACAGCTGCAGTTCGCAAATCGCGCTTCGCATTAGCATTGCAGCTAAGACCCGCCGAGGCAGGGATTACCTCAGGTACCCTCCACCTAATCCTCCTCAAAGTTTGGAGACACCCTGTTTTTGCATTCGTTTGCCACCCCCTGATTTGTAGGCCTCCTCCCCTCCCCAGGCCCCCTTGCCCCCTCCCCCTCCCCCTTCCGCCCCCCCCTCGCCCTCCCCCTCCCCCTCCCCCAGCCGTCCGCGGCCGCATGACCAGTAGAAGAGCAGTGAGGCAGGAAGATGGCGTTCCCGCACTCGACACCCAACCGTTAAAAGTTGGGGTTGAGAGGCCACCCTAGCATGGTGTATATGACATCCACTGCCCCCTCGCCCTGCCGCTAAAGAGCCGAGGCGGGCGGCGTAGCATTAAAAATCACAAAATCTCTTGTGATTGCGGCCTTGTGGACTTCTTTCGGGAGTTAAGCTTAGGTTTGCATGCAGGGGATGCCCGACCAGAAAAACTCAGCCAAAGCTCAATAAGCACGACTTAGTAGTGATAACAATAGTTTGTCAGTGGTAGTAGTTTTTTGTCACCCACATGGCAAGCCAATGGCAGCTCCACGGGGACTCAAATGGCAACTAGTCACGACGAATCCCCACAATTGAGTAGGACAGCAAAACAAAAGTTGGGGCCACAGAAGGACTCTAGGGCTTCGTCGATCGGCTCACTCCCTCATGCTCAGAGGTGATGTGAAAGACTCTTCGAAGTATAGTTCAAAAAAGTATAGTATAGATTAGCAAACAAAGTAATCCCCATAAGGCAGCAAACAGGCTTGGACGACCCGCCCATCATACTGAGCCGGGACACTCACATCATAGGCTATTTCAGACAAGATTGCTGTCAAGGTATGAGGGGCCTTGCAGGAGATCGTTGTTGAAAAACAGCAAACAACCCAGTTGGACAAACCCTGATTCAGAGGCTCACCACAACTGAGCATAACCACTCCTCTCCTCAGTAGGCTTCCAGTGACGACAGAAAAAACATGCAGCCAAGGTCGAAGTGAGTTTGTGTTGCGAGGTGGCTCGTGTAGTAGTAGTAGTCGTCGTCGTCGTCGAAGTCGTAGTCGTAGTAGTGGTAGTGGTAGTGGTAGTCGTAATAGTAATAGTACTAGGAAGCTCCCTTTTTCGGAGGCTTTGATCCGAAGGGAGGTTAATCCCGACGTGTCCTCGGCAGCACGAAACAAGGCAGCCCGGGTCTTCAAGCGAAGGTTGTCCAAGTCTTCCTGAGGGACAAAACGATGACCAGGGTGCTGAAGAGCCCTAGCCCTTATATGCAACCCGATAGAGCCATGATAGAACTGTTACACTGTTATACTTCACCTGAAAGCCCAAGTGAAACCCCCGCCTCTTCCGTCTTCATGTGTGCTACCTCCTGGGAGTCGGTGATGTCTTCCAGCTCTTTCGACATGGGTGGCAGCTCCGGCGCCTTTTTTCGAAGATCTGCGGTAACCTTACATGGCCTTTACATGTGCGCAGCTGAACATCACAAGTCATTTTGCCCAGGTTTCTGGCCTGCTGTCACAGCTACGGTAGAATGCTTACAATCCTTTGCTTACCCTTGGGACGGCAGGTTGCAATGATGCCAGTGGTGGTGCACCGTCTCTGGCTCTTCCTGCCTCTTGAGAATGGCTCAGCGTGTTCTCGAGGCTGCCATCCTCAGCCGCCTGAAACATTAAGAGTGTCGGCGTTGGGGGGCGCTAATCCTTCCGTTCCACTCGCTCCACTCGCTCCACTCGCTCCACTCGTTCCACTCGCTCCGCTCGCTCCGCTCGCTCCGCTCGCTCGACTCGCTCCACTCGTTCCACTCGTTCCACTCGCTCCACTCGCTCCACTCGTTACCTGTTCCACTGATTAGAGCGAGTGGGAGTGGAGCGAGTGGCGCGAGTGGCGCGGACGAGGCTTTGGGATGTTGAGAGTCGGGTCTGTAATCTAAAGGCCAGCTACTCCACTACTCCGACCGTTGCAATCGTGCCAGTCGTTCCACTAGAAGCGTGTTCCACTCGTGCCACTTGCCCCAGTCGCCCCTGTACGTTACCTGTTCCACTCTTTCCTTTAACTGAGCGAGTGGCGCGAGTGCAGCGAGTGGCGAGAGTGGCATGGAGCGAGTGGAGCGAGTGGCGCGAGTGGCCCGAGTGCATGGCCCGAGTGGCGCAAGTGGCGCGAGTGAGGTTTTGGGATGTTGAGAGTCGGGTCTGTATAATTTAAGGGAGCTACGCCACTCGTTACCTGTTCCACTGGTTAGAGCGAATGGGAGGAGCGAGTGGCGCGAGTGGCGCGGACGAGGTTTTGGGATGTTGAGAGTCGGGTCTGTAATCTAAAGGCCAGCTACTCCACTACTCCGACCGTTCCAATCGTGCCAGTCGTTCCACTAGAAGCGTGTTCCACTCGTGCCACTCGCTCCAGTCGCCCCTGTACGTTACCTGTTCCACTCTTTCCTTTAACTGAGCGAGTGGCGCGAGTGGAGCGAGTGGCGCGAGTGGAGCGAGTGGAGCGAGTGGCGCGAGTGGCGCGAGTGGCGCGAGTGGCGCGAGTGGCCCGAGTGGCCCGAGTGGCGCGCGGACGAGGTTTTGGGATGTTGAGAGTCGGGTCTTTATAATTTAAGGGCCAGCTACTCCACTACTCCGACCGTTCCAATCGTATCAGTCGTTCCACTAGAAGCGTGTTCCACTCGTGCCACTCTCCAGTCGCCCCTGTACGTTACTTGTTCCACTCTCTCCTTTAACTGAGCGAGTGGCGCGAGTGGAGCGAGTGGAGCGAGTGGAGCGAGTGGCGCGAGTGGCGCGAGTGGCCCGAGTGGCGCAAGTGGCGCGGACGAGGTTTTGGGATGTTGAGAGTCGGGTCTTTATAATTTAAGGGCCAGCTACTCCACTACTCCGACCGTTCCAATCGTGCCAGTCGTTCCACTAGAAGCGTGTTCCACTCGTGTAACTCGGTCCAATCGCCCCTGTACGTTACCTGTTCCACTCTTTCCCTGAACTGTGCGAGTGGCGCGAGTGGAGCGAGTGGAGCGAGTGGCGCGAGTGGCGCGGACGACTTTAATTCTCCCCCCCGTGTGGCCGCAATGAGCGTTTTCCCCGATCCTGTTCGACATCTATGCCGCAAAGCACAAGTGTTTACCGCGATCCTTTTCGACATCCATGCCTCACAGCCAGGGTTTACCCCGATCCTGTTCGCATCTGTGCCTCAAAACACAATATTTACCCCGATCCTGTTCGACATCTATGCCTCAAAGCGAGCGTTTACCCCGATCTTGTTCGACATCGATGCCTCAAAGCAAGCGTTTACCCCAATCTTGTTCGACATCTATGCTCAAAGCACTAACACGATCCTGTTCGACATCTATGCCTCAAAAAAAGCGATTACCCCGATCCTGTTCGACATCTATGCCTTAAAGCAAGCGTTTACCCCGATGTTGTTCGACATCTATGCCTCAAAGCACAAGCGTTTACCTCGATCTTGTTCGACATCTATGCCTCAACTCGAGCGTTCACCTTACCCTGATCTTGTTCGTTTTCTATGCTTCAAAGCACGCGTGTACCCCGATCTTGTTCGACATCTATGCTTGAAAGCAGGCGTTTACCCCGATCCTGTTCGACATCTGTGCCGCAAAGCACAAGTGTTTTTCCCGATCTTATTCAACATCTATGCCTCAAAAAACAATTGTTTACCCCGATCCTGCTCGACATCTATGCCTCAAAGCAAGCATTTACCCTGATCTTGTTCGACGTCTATCCGACCTCGTTCGACATCTATGCCTCAAAGCACAAGTGCTTACCCCGATTTTGTTCGACACCTATCAAAGCACGGGTGTTTGCCCCAATCTTGTTCGACATCACTTACCCCGATCCTGTTCGACATCCATGCTTCAAAGCCAACGTTTACCCCGATCTTGTTCGACATCTATGCCGAAACTATGCCTCAAAGCGAGTGTTTACCCCGGTCTTGTTCGGCATCTATGCCTGCAAAGAGGCGTTTACAACCGATCTTGTTCGACATCTAAACCTCAAAGCACACGTGTTTACCTCGATGCTGTTCGACATCTATGCTTCAAAGCGAGCCTTTACCCCGATCTTGTTCGACATCGATGCCTCAAAGCAAGCGTTTACCCAATCTTGTTCGACATCTTTGCCACAAAGCACGAGTGTTTACCCCGATCCTGTTCGACATCTATGCCTTAAAAAAAGCTATTACCCCGATCCTGTTCGACATCTATGCCTCAAAGCAAGCGTTGGCCCCGATCTTGTTCGACATCTATGCTTCTCAAAGCACAAGCGTTTACCCCGATCTTGTTCGACATCCATGCCTCAACTCAAGTGTTTACATTACCCCGATCTTGTTCGCATCTATGCCTCAAAGCAAGCGTTACAGTACCCCGATCTTGTTCGAAATCTGAGCCTCAAAAGCACAAGTGTTTACCCCGATCCTGTTCGACGCTTATGCCTCAAAGCAAGCGTTTTCCCCGGTCTTGTTCGACATCTATGCCGCAAAGCACAAGTGTTTACCCCGATCGTCTTCGACATCTATGCCTCACAGCCAGCGTTTACCCCGATCTTGTTCACATCTGTGCCTCAAAACACAATATTTACCCCGATGTTGTTCGACATCTATGCCTCAAAGCGAGCGTTTACCCCGATCTTGTTCGACATCTATGCTTAAAAAAAGCGATTACCCCAATCTTGTTCGACATCTATGCCTCAAAGCACTAACACGATCCTGTTCGACATCTATGCCTAAAAAAAGCGATTACCCCGATCCTGTTCGACATCTATGCCTTAAAGCAAGCGTTGACCCCGATCTTGTTCGACATTTATGTCACAAAGCACAAGTGTTTACCCCGATCCTGTTCGACACCTATCAAAGCACGGGTGTTTGCCCCAATCTGGTTCGACATCATTTACCCCGATCCTGTTCGACATACATGCTTCAATGCCAGCGTTTACCCCGATCTTGTTCGACATCTATGCCGAATCTATGCCTCAAAGCGAGTGTTTACCCCGGTCCTGTTCGGCATCTATGCCTGCAAAAAGGCGTTTACAACCGATCTTGTTCGACATCTAAACCTCAACGCACAAGTGTTTACCTCGATGCTGTTCGACATCTATGCCTCAAAGCGAGCGTTTACCCCGATCTTGTTCGACATCGATGCCTTAAAAAAAGCGATTACCCCGATCCTGTTCGACATCTATGCCACAAGGCAAGCGTTTACCCCGATCTTGTTTGACATCTATGCTTCAAAGCACAAGCGTTTACCCCGATCTTGTTCGACATCCATGCCTCAACTCAAGTGTTTACCTTACCCCGATCTTGTTCGCATCTATGCCTCAAAGCAAGCGTTACAGTACCCCGATCTTGTTCGAAATCTGAGCCTCAAAAGCACAAGTGTTTACCCCGATCCTGTTCGACGCTTATGCCTCAAAGCAAGCGTTTTCCCCGATCTTGTCCGACATCTATGCCGCAAAACACAAGTGTTTACCGCGATCCTCTTCGACATCTATGCCTCAAAGCGAGCGTTTACCCCAATCTTGTTCGACATCTGTGCAGCTAAACACAATATTTACCCCGATCCTGTTCGACATCTATGCCTCAAAGCACTAACACGATCCTGTTCGACATCTATGCCTCAAAGCACAAGTGCTTACCCCGATCCTGTTCGACACCTATCAAAGCACGGGTGTTTGCCCCAATCTTGTTCGACATCACTTACCCCGATCCTGTTCGACATCCATGCTTCAAAGCCAGCGTTTACCTCGATCTTGTTCGACATCTATGCCGAAACTATGCCTCAAAGCGAGTGTTTACCCCGATCTTGTTCGACATCTATGCTTAAAAAAAGCGATTACCCCGATTCTGGTCGACATCTATGCCTCAAAGCACGAGTGTTTACCCCGATCTTGTTCGACATCTATGCCGTAAAAAAAGCGTTATCCCGATCCTGTTCGACATCTATGCCTCAAAGCAAGCGTTTACCCCGATCTTGTTCGACATCTATGCTTCAAAGCACAAGCGTTTACCCCGATGTTGTTCGACATCCATGCCTCAACTCAAGTGTTTACCTTACCCCCCGATCTTGTTCGCATCTATGCCTCAAAGCAAGCGTTACAGTACCCCGATCTTGTTCGAAATCTGAGCCTCAAAAGCACAAGTGTTTACCCCGATCTTGTTCGACGCTTATGCCTCAAAGCAAGCGTTGTCCCCTGTGCAGTTCGACATCTATGCCGCAAAGCACAAGTGTTTACCGCGATCTTCTTCGACATCTATGCCTCACAGCCAGCGTTTACCCCGATCCTGTTCGCATCTGTGCCTCAGAACACAATATTTACCCCGATCCTGTTCGACATCTATGCCTCAAAGCGAGCGTTTACCACGATCTTGTTCGACATCGATGCCTCAAAGCAAGCGTTTACCCCGATCTTGTTCGACATCTATGCCTCAAAGCACTAACACGATCCTGTTCGACATCTATGCCTCAAAAAAAACGATTACCCCGATCCCGTTCGACATCTATGCCTTAAAGCAAGCGTTGACCCCGATCTTGTTCGACATCTATGCCGAATCTATGCCTCAAAGCGAGTGTTTAACCCGGTACTGTTCGGCATCTATGCCGACACTTAAAACGCTTGCTTTGAGGCATAAGCGTCGAACAGGATCGGGGTAAACACTTGTGCTTTTGAGGCTCAGATTTCGAACAAGATCGGGGTACTGTAACGCTTGCTTTGAGGCATAGATGCGAACAAGATCGGGGTAAGGTAAACACTTGAGTTGAGGCATGGATGTCGAACAACATCGGGGTAAACGCTTGTGCTTTGAAGCATAGATGTCGAACAAGATCGGGGTAAACGCTTCCTTTGATGCATAGATGTCGAACAGGATCGGGGTAATCGCTTTTTTTACGGCATAGATGTCGAACAGGATCGGGGTAAACACTCGTGCTTTGTGGCATAGATGTCGAACAAGATTGGGGTACACGCTTGCTTTGAGGCATCGATGTCGAACAAGATCGGGGTAAACGCTCGCTTTGAGGCATAGATGTCGAACAGCATCGAGGTAAACACTGGTGCTTTGAGGTTTAGATGTCGAACAAGATCGGTTGTAAACGCCTTTTTGCAGGCATTGGGGGGCGCTAATCCGTCTGTTCCACTCGCTCCACTCGCTCCACTCGCTCCACTCGCTCCGCTCGCTCCACTCGCTCCACTCGCTCCACTCGCTCCACTCGCTCCACTCGCTCCACTCGCTCCAATCGCTCCACTCGCTCCACTCGCTCCACTCGTTACCTGTTCCACGTTGGGAGTCGGGTCTGTAATCTAAAGGCCAGCTACTCCACTACTCCGACCGTTCCAATCGTGCCTGTCGTTCCACTAGAAGCGTGTTCCACTCGTGCCACTCGCTCCAGTCGCCCCTGTACGTTACCTGTTCCACTCTTTCCTTTAACTGAGCGAGTGGCGCGAGTGGAGCGAGTGGAGCGAGTGGCGCGAGTGGCGCGAGTGGCGCGAGTGGCGCAAGTGGCGCGAGTGGCGCGGACGAGGTTTTGGGATGTTGAGAGTCGGGTCTTTATATTTAAGGGCCAGCTACTCCACTACTCCGACCGTTCCAATCGTACCAGTCGTTCCACTAGAAGCGTGTTCCACTCGTGCCACTCGCTCCAGTCGCCCCTGTACGTTACCTGTTCCATTCTTTCCGTTGACTGAGCGAGTGGCGCGAGTGGAGCGAGTGGCGCGAGTGGGGCGAGTGGAGCGAGTGGCGCGAGTGGCGCGAGTGGCACAAGTGGCGCGACTGGCACGGACGAGGTTTTGGGATGTTGAGAGTCGGGTCTTTATAATTTAAGGGCCAGCTACTCCACTACTCCGACCGTTCCAATCGTACCAGTCGTTCCACTAGAAGCGTGTTCCACTCGTGCCACTCGCTCCAGTCGTCCCTGTACGTTACCTGTTCCACTCTTTCCTTGAACTGAGCGAGTGGCGCAGCAAATTGTCGAGCAGCGCACCGCAAGAGTGGTTGATTTATTGGTCATGTTTAGTATGGATACCGAAAACAGAGAGCTACAAGTTCACAGTGGAAGGGGCAGCAGCAGCAGCAAATTGTCGAGCAGCGCACTGCAAGAGTGGTTAATTTATTGGTCATGTTTAGTATGGATACCGAAAACAGAGAGCTACAAGTTCAGAGTGGAAGGGGCAGCAGCAGCAAATTATCGAGCAGCGCACCGCAAGAGTGGTTAATTTATTGGCCATGTTTAGTATGGATACCGAAAACAGAGAGCTACAAGTTCACAGTGGAAGGGGCAGCAGCAGCAGCAAATTGTCGAGCAGCGCACTGCAAGAGTGGTTAATTTATTGGTCATGTTTAGTATGGATACCGAAAACAGAGAGCTACAAGTTCAGAGTGGAAGGGGCAGCAGCAGCAAATTATCGAGCAGCGCACCGCAAGAGTGGTTAATTTATTGGCCATGTTTAGTATGGATACCGAAAACAGAGAGCTACAAGTTCAGAGTGGAAGAGGCAGCAGCAGCAGCAGCAGCAGCAAAATGTCGAGCAGCGCACCGCAAGAGTGGTTAATTCATTGGTCATCTTTCGTATGGATAGGTGACGTGCCACTGTCAGTGCACGAGGTCTCTTGCAAGAGCTCGATTGACCTTAAATTGAAGAAATGCTTTCTCGGCACTGGTTGGGGATTGTAGTTTCTGCGCTTTGCTCAGCTACCCATAGCTCATACATCCCAAAAAAAACCTCCTACAGCCGGAAGTAAAGCCTCAAGTCACACAACGGGCCTTCTTCAGGGCGGCCGCTTTTAGCCGCCCTGCCCTCTCCCGCATGGATACCTCCAGTTTCGACATGCTACGAATACGGTACGGTATTCTTACTTGCCAAGGGCTTCTGGGTCCAACCTGGCATGCTGCACTGATGTGCTACAACTGCAAGACGTACGAGTAGCGATTCGGAAGTTTCCGATCCCTTCTTGTCATTGCCGCCCTGGCGCCTCGCTGAATGGTTTTGGGTTTTAGGATTTTAGACTTTAGGGTTTTGGTCCTGGGGCTTGTTGAGTTTGAGGGCTTAGGCAGTACACTGCAAGCTGGGTTTCTGCAGTTAGATCCGCCCTGAAACCCCGAGGCATCCCCTCGCCCGATCTCATCAGCTATTGCACGTCCCGGAAGTGAGGTCCCGGTGGTTTAGGGTCTAGGCTTTAGCCCCAAAACCATAAACCGTTTGGGTTTAAGAGTTACTGCTTATAAAGGTTTGGGGGTCCAGGGGCAAGGTTGAGGTTTTACATGGGTTGGAGAAGCCAAACCTTGCACAGTTGCAAAAAAACCGTCCATAACCCCCGCAACCAAGAGGCGTACACACCAAAACCATAAGTGATAACCTCGACCCAACAGACCCAGAAATCCCAAACGGCCATCCTCAGCCAAAGTGCGGTCCGGCGTAGGATGAGGGTCGAGGAGGTGCGTTCAGGGTTTAGGGTTTGATGGGCTCCAGGGTCTATCGTTGTTAGCTGATCAGGCGAACCAACGAATCGATGCAGCACCAAGCAACAGGATACGAAGCCGCCGGGCCTTTTTTCCCTAAACCCGATGACGCGGTGGCCTCCGCATCATGGAAGCTGTCACCGTACGTTGCTTCTACCTGGCATGGAAACTGGGGCTTGTTCAGGTGTGCCAGAGCTTTTGGATCACTGAGCTCCGCAACAAGAGAATCTGAAGAGAAACAGCTTCTTATTTAGTGCAAACTCAAACCTGGATCTGCAGCCTTGAACTCGAATCCTCGCACTCCCAGCCCCACGCGAATTACCATCCCACCAGCCATGAGTGTGCAAAACAACCTCACATCCATTACAGAAATCCGAATAACTAAGTAGACTGATGCTGCAACGAATGAAGCGCCCTGTCGTCACTCAGGGTTGTTTAGGATCTTAGACCAGCAGTAAACCATTAACATGCCCATGTCAAGATGGTCCCCTCGACAAAAATAAGCCTCCATCCTCAACAGACTGCAGCCTAGGCCTAAGCTCCTAAAAATCCCCATGAACCCTAAACCGCTTGCCCCAAAACCCCGTACTTCCGGAAATGCTACTCCGACATCCTTTAGGCTGGACATGGCTGGGCCCAACTCTTTGCCTTGTCTCCTTCCTTGAGCTCTGCGGGGGGCGCGGCCTCTTTCTCCTGAATGTAAGCACAGTGCTGGCGTAAGTGCGGTGCCGTCCAAATTTTACGGAGCCTCTAAATTACTCAAGGCCCCTGCCCCCTAGAGTGCCTTTACAGTCCTTGTTATAGGAATGGCGTGCAGGGGTGGGGGTCCAGTCTAAAGGAGGAACTCAAGTTTTACAACTGCTTCAGTGGTAAGTCTTCCTTTCAGACTTGAGCCAGCGCCGCTTTAATTACCAAAAACCTCTGCAAACCTGTCCTCTGCTACGCCGTACAAGGTTTAGGGTTTAGGGACACTGAACACATGAGTGCAGCAGCCGTGCCTGGGAGTCCGGCTTGAGCTTGACTTCAGAAGCATCCAGTTCCGCTTGGGAGCCGTCATGGCCTGAAGGCGGCGATTGCGACTAGTACAAACACTATTACTATTACTATCACTATCACTGTCACTATTATGACTATTACCATTATTCGTAGTAATACTAGAACTACTAGTACCTTACTAGTACTTGTACTATTACTGATAAGATTCCGATTACTATTACTACTATTTCTAATTACCACGGTTATTCTTATTATTACAATTTGATTCTACCCGTATTTCCGGTATCTTACTCCTCCGGGCAGGGCTCAACACTGAGAATATCAAGGGGGGCCTCAATCCGAAAAACGCGAAGCCGGAACCCTAAGGAGCTCTCTCTCTCTGTCTCGGTCTGCCGTGCCATCTAGCTGCAGGACTGGAACGTGCCCAGAAGCATTCTAGACTTAAGCCTATGACATATATATATATAGAAAATGTGTATATATATATATATACCTGAACCCCCCAACTCATAAAGCAACACACATTCACCTTGTAGTAGCCCTTAAGGGCAACCCTGCAAGGAACCCTTTCCGTGTCCCTTCAAGTCGCCTTCAACTCCGAAACCCACGAGCCGCCAAGTTGCTCCACTTGAGCCACTTGAGCTTCACTTTGCCATCCTCCATGGACCTTACTGACCACATGTTCCTTACAAGTACGGGCCCTATACCCTGATACTATGAGCCCCTCTAATTCGGGTATGTGAACCTTAAACCCCTTTAGGGTTCATTTCGTCTCTAAGGGACATGGACAGGACTTCGGCGTCGTAGAAGCTGCTGCCGTACTTGGCCTCGACCTCGGGCCAGAGTACGAGGTTTGAAGTTAGCTTTGTTTGGGCTGCGTTGGAGTTTGGGGCTTCCGTCTGGGTACCTGAGATTGTATTAGGCTTCATGCCTAGAGTTTGATATTGGAATTGCTTCGTAGGGTTGTTTTGAGCGTTTGGGGTTGCGGGCTTGGGGTTGTTTCAGACTTTTCCGGGTTTTGGATTCAAGATGATTCAAGTATATTTTGCGGGAGGGGGGTTGGGGGTTTAGGGTTTGAATTGTTCTAGAATTTTCGGCTTAGGGTTTGCTTTAAAAGTTTGGGGGTATGGGGTTCCTGTTGCTGCTGTTACGTTGCTGCTGTGCATCACGAGCATCACCTTCATCGCGGGGATTGTCGCTACCTTTTGTTCGTGGTGTTTGCAAGACCACTCGCGGCATCAACATGCTTGCTGGCCCCCTCTTTACTTTCATCAGTTGCATAGTATTCACGATCTCTGGCTCCTAGAACAAATACTGGAAGCCCATACTCTTGACACTAGCTGTTTACACCCATCCATTTTTCCATGCACTTCTAACAGTCCGGCGATAGCGATTTGTCAAAGGAGAATACTGTTCGGATACTACCAAGTAGCACTAAGACCCTCCGCGCCTTGTCTCCGGCACTGAATTCCACGACTTCTTGTGCATCTTGCGCCGCCTTCTGCCTTAGGCTCAAGAGTTTCGGAGAGTCCGGCATGCCGGAGAGAGCTGTTCTACTGCAAGGACTTGGATAAAAGGGATGGTGGTAGATCAAATACATGGATTCTGAGGGCGTATTTTCCAATTCTTCACACTTTTCCAGCAGATCAAGCCGACCATGTTCATGGTCTGCTACCATGTGGTACTTCAGGAATGTGTAACGTGCAGGGTCCTATCAGAGCTGTGGTAGTCGTAGCAGTAGGCCGTGGTAGTAGTAGTCGTCGTCGTAGTAGTAGAAGAATAGTAGTCGTCGTGGTGATGGTGGTGGTAGTTGTAGTTGTAGTGAGTTGCAGTAGCAGTAGAGGTTGTAGAGGTGGTGGTAGTAGTCGTAGTCGTAGTCGTAGTCGTAGTCGTAGTCGTAGTCGTAGTAGTAGTAGTAGTAGTAGTAGTAGTAGTAGTAGTAGGAGTAGTAGGAGTAGGAGTAGGAGCAGGAGCAGGAGCAGGAGTAGGAGTAGGAGTAGGAGTCGTCGTCGACGTCGTAGTAGTAGTAGTAGTAGTAGTAGTAGGAGTAGTAGGAGTAGGAGTAGGAGTAGGAGTAGGAGTAGGAGTCGTCGTCGACGTCGTAGTAGTAGTAGTAGTAGTAGTAGTAGTAGTAGCAGTAGTAGTAGTAGTAGTAGCAGTAGCAGTAGCAGTAGCAGTAGCAGTGCTGAAGCTGCAGCGTGATCTAAGGCTTATGGTTCAGGATTGTTCTAGGTTTGGGTTTTTCTCTGGCAAGGTTTAGGCTGTAGGACTCAGCAGCGCTGCACATCAATCCCTCTCTTTTCTTGTGGCACTCTCGAAGTCGTCTTGATGCGTGCTTCCGAGTAAAGGGAACTGCTGGAAACAGTACTCATGACTGTATGTATGGATTTCGGCGCTTCAAACTCGATGATTCTAGGGGGGTGAGATGGTCTAAAAAATGGTGTGGGAACCACGAAAACCTCACAGCCCTGCATTCCTGATCCTAGTGTGGAGGCATTGTGAAGCCCACCGGCAGCCGAACCCTTTGCTCATACTCCTCACCCAGGCACAGCTCAAGAAGCTTGGCGCCATCCTTTCCACTGATTGGTTTCTTGGAGACAGCGGCAGGGACCTCGAGGAAGTTTCGAGATTTTCGGGTTTGGGGCTCGAGGATTCAGGTTGCAGGGCTAAGACCGAGTTTTGTAGGGGGTTTGGGCTTTGGAAAGCAGGAGGGCAAATGAACGGCAGGCCTCCTGGGCTTTAGCGATGGATAAGCTGAACTCATTCCTTTGGGCGCATTTTTGGCTAAGCATTGTATCAGAGTATACTATTATTATACACGGCACTTCCTTGCGTTCATGGGTCGTACACTGCCCTCAGTACAACGTGGCCGGTCTTCAATCCTTTGACGGGTACAGGGTTTAGGGTTAGGGGTTTAGGTTTTAGTCTAGTAGAAATAAGGAGTTTAGAAGGTATAGGGGTCTATTTGTTCGGATATTGGGAAGTCGTCGCAAGGTTGAACCGTTGCCTCCAGAATCATGCTGGGTTGGCGGGCCTTCGAATGCAGGAGGTGCGGGAGCTCCTGTGCGAGGATTGCAGAGCTTCCGGGATAAGACTTGGAAGATGCTGGCACTTCGATGCGACGGGTTCTTATCACTGAGTCGTATGCACAGTGTCTGCGATGTTCGGCAAACCAAACTCACAGGCCGTGCAAGTTCTCGGGTCCTCTTTCACTTCGGCCGCCCTTTGCTGCGCTACCTATGAAAGGCTCGGGAAAGTCCAGGTAGTACTGGAGTTTCTGAAAGCAGCTACGAAGCCTCAAACCGCAAAGAGAGAGCTACAAGTTCAGAGTGGCAGCAGCAGCAAAATGTCGAGCAGCGCACTGCAAGAGTGGTTAATTCATTGGTCATCTTTCGTATGGATAGGTGACGTGCCACTGTCAGTGCACGAGGTCTCTTGCAAGAGCTCGATTGACCTTAAATTGAAGAAATGCTTTCTCGGCACTGGTTGGGGATTGTAGTTTCTGCGCTTTGCTCAGCTACCCATAGCTCATACATCCCAAAAAAAACCTCCTAAAGCCTCAAGTCACACAACGCGCCTTCTTCATGAGGGCGGCTGCCCTCTCCCGCATGGATACCTCCAGTTTCGACATGCTATGAATACGGTACGGTATTCTTACTTGCCAAGGGCTTCAGAACAGAAGCTCGCACACATGGATGGCACCCCCCCCCCGGCACCCACACCGCCCCCACCGCCCTCACCACGCGCACCACCCCCCACCGCTCTCACCACCCTCACTGCCGCTACCACCCTCACCACCGCCACCGGACCTAATTTTCATATCGCCTTTCTTGGCTACACCCGAAAAACCCAGCCCAGACCCGACCACTCAAACCCAGGCCCCATTAGACCCAGCCCAAAACCCGACCACTCAAACCCAGACCCTATTAAACCTTGAGGCCCTAAACCCCTAACCGCCACGGAGGGCGCCCTAAACCCCTAACCGCCACGGAGGGCGCCCTAAACCTCTAACCGCCACGGAGGGCGAAACCCTATTGCCAGCCTACAACTACTACCCCGCCCCCCACCCCTTCAAAACACCGGCCTCCCGCTGTCGATTTGTGCGTGTCATCTTTGCGCGGAGCCATGCTTATCTTCTCTGTGTCGTTCCAAGTACTTTGGTACCACACACTTCTCGATTCGTGCGTGTCATCCTTGCGCAGGAGCCTAATCGGAGAATTCCCTTGGGCATCCTACACCCTAGTGTACTATAGAAATGTTACAAATAAAACACTATGACATGTAATTTTCTAAACCCCTGATAGCGAGCACTCTGGCAGAGCGACAGTGAAGTCTCCATGGGGGCTGCTCGTCCTCTTGCCTCCTTCTGGGGTCGGCGGCATTGGCGGCAGCCATTAAATCGGGCAGCGCTCGCTGCCCTGTATGGTCTGAGCTTGGCTCAGCCGAAGGAGGGAGTTTCTGCGAAGCAAAAGCCACGACCGCCTGCACCGCCGACCCTGCTTCATCCTCCATCGGGCCGCGCGGGCCCTCGCCCGGAGGCTTCTCGGAACGCGCACGTGTTATGCAGCCATTCCCCAACGGGTTTCGCGGTTTTGAGTTGGTTTGGGAAGCCCCAAAGGGGCGCGCATCATGAGCATCAGCGAGGTTCGGCGGAGCGCGGGTGCGGGCTGCCGACGAGGGCTGAGAGGGCAAGGGGAGGGGAAAACACAAGGGCGGGTGCGTGCCCTAGCTTCAGGCTTCTACCTGCGCTGCCCGCACCTGGGCGCAGCCCCTAGAATAATGATAAGCATAATCAGACGTACCAGTGCCAACAAAACAACAGCAACATTACATAGCAGAAATGCCGCAGACACTAAGCACCACAATGCCAAACCTTCTTGGCATAGAGCTCCTCCTTTTCGCCGGAGTGCTCCTGTGATGGAGATGTCGGACTGGTGCAGGCTTAACGGGACAGGCATAGGCTCGGCAGTCGCAGGTTTGGCAACTGTGCTTGAAAGACATGAGGTGCAGCGAGCGTAATTAAATCGAAGTTTTTACACCATAGAACGGCAGCAACAAAGCAACAGCCTGCAAGTTTTCGGGGTAAGACGTGCAAAAGGGGCTGTTATAATTCGATGCTTTTGCTTCGTTCAATACACGGCATATCACGGTCCTGGATCTTCTGGGTGAGCTTCTTTTCGTTGTCCTCGCGGCTTCGATCCGAGAACCCAAAGCTTTGGAGAGTTGGTTTCCATTTTCAGGCATGGAGTGGTAGCCCATGGAAGGCCAAGAGAACGACTCTTCGAAGTATAGTTTAAAAAGTATAGTATAGATTAGCAAACAAAGTAATCCCCGTAAGGCAGCAAACAGGCTTGGACGACCCGCCCATCATACTGAGCCGGGACACTCACATCATAGGCTATTTCAGACAAGATTGCTGTCAAGGTATGAGGGGCCTTGCAGGAGATCGTTGTTGAAAAACAGCAAACAACCCAGTTGGACAAACCCTGATTCAGAGGCTCACCACAACTGAGCATAACCACTCCTCTCCTCAGTAGGCTTCCAGTGACGACAGAAAAAACATGCAGCCAAGGTCGAAGTGAGTTTGTGTTGCGAGGTGGCTCGTGTAGTAGTAGTAGTAGTAGTAGTAGTATCATCACACTCGCTGCGGACGGTGAGGTCGCATTGCGATGACTCGAGCGGTGTCAACCGGCGCACTGTGGCGCTCGATCACAGTTGGATCGACTCATCTAGCTACGTAACTACTCTGCCCCGAAGGGCCTATGCTGAGGTTGCAGCACTCCTCATTCGGTACACAAGGATGTAGTTGGAGGTGGACAGGGCATCTGGAGTGACCGATTGCGCAGGACTGTTGTCGTCAGTGTGATGCCACACGTTCGCTGTGCCTGAACGAGGTTTGAGTGCAGCACGGTAGTGCCCACTGACCGTGGTCGGTCCTATATGCTGGACAATCGCCTGAAGCTGATACGTTCTCCAAATGATACCTTCAGGGGATGAAGGAGTCCATTGTGGGAAAAGGACCTCTGGATCAGCATCTATGCGATGGTCACATTTGGATGCAATGCCCCGTTCATTGCGAAAACGGTTGAGCTGTACAGCCACAGCTTCAGTGCCTGCAATCAGGGCGTGGCGACGTTTCTGCGAATGCCAGCGATTGATGCAGGACTGAGCAGTGGCGGCAATTGTGCTAGAGGCGTCCTGCATACCGGAAAGTATGAGTGGGCAGACCCCGCCTTCATCCTGAAGCATGTGGCTGTCGTCAAAGGACTGCCAGAGGCCCTGGAAGCAGGGCGCATTGAGGACTTGGTGTAGGTGAAGGAGGAAGTCCGCTGCATCATGTTGCCTGGCTGGATTGGACCAGCGTCGCATTGCCTGCCTCCACGGGAGGAGCGACCAGAGTGTCACTGGCTGTTGTTTGCGTGCCTGGGCGATGAAGCTCTTCAGCGGTTCCCTGTCCAGTACCTGAAAGGAGGAGGGGGTTTGGGACACAAGCCAAAGATAAGTAAAAAGGCAGGCATGGGAGTAACAGTAGTTGGAAGGATTGCGGAGCTGCAATGTCGGGAGCAGGGCTGAGGTCTCGGCGGCTGTCTCGGCATAGGGATGTGCATGGACTGGAGGAGGGTCTGCAGCTGTTGGGCCAAGGCTGATCTCTGGAGGCGATCCGGACGAAGGGTGCAACCGATCATTAGGAGGGAGGAGTTGTGTGAAAGGAGCTGGAGCAGCTCCCAGAAGCGAGCCGTTTGCTCGCCCCTCCAGCCCACTTCCAATAGCCAGGTCACTGTGCTGCCTTCCATTTTCTCCTCCAGCTGACGAGTTGCATGGAACCTGTTGAGCAGCTGCGGTTGTACGCTCAGCGTCGCCAGCTCCTTTGCAATCTCCACCACTTTCTGCGCCGAGAGCGGTTCGCGATCGGGAATGGGCTGCATCACGCCCTCCTTGTTGTTCCATTTGCGGTAGCCGAACCCCGTGGTCGGGTTGTAGAGCTCCATTTGGATTGCCTGGTCTCGGGCATCCTCCTGGTCGATGACTTTCTGGGCTCTCTGAGACAGCTCGAGCATCAGTTTCTGCCACAGAATGATGCGCATCGGATGAGTGACGGATTCCGGGTCGTTCCACCGCAGCTCGTGCCATCCTTGGGCTGTGGCGAACAGCTTGGGGAGGACAGTGCCCGGGGGCTGAGTGGTGAGGAAGAGGATCCAGGTGGTGGATTGCTGTAGGACTGAGAGAGCGTCCTCGTGTCTCATGAGGAGTCTGGCCATGGTGTGGCACATGAGAGTGAGGTCGGGACCTGAAGAAGGCCCGTAGCCCGGTCCTTGTCGCTGCCATGGGGGTTGGGGGTGGTATCCGGATGGACGCCCCCCTTGACGCCTTGGCGGACCTCCCTGAGGGGAAGGGCGGTTGGCAGGGTTCTGTTGGCCCTGGGCTCCGCGGCCTGTTGAGCCCTTGCCCTTGCCTGGTTGGGTGGCTCCTTTGCTGTTGTCCCTCTGCCATTTGGAGGGTCTGTCGGGGACTTCCGTCGATGGAGGATTCGAGGAGTCCGGCATTTCTCCTTGTGGTGGGGGCTCGCTCATCAGTGTCGTCGGGGCCATCAGGGGCTGAGGCTGCTTGGGTATCAGCCGGACCTGCGCTTCGATGCTCTTGAGCTCCTGAGTGGCTTCCTCCAGGTCTTCCGGGCTCACCTGGTGCGCATTGAACATCGAGGGGAGAGTCATCTCGGACCTGAGGCAGGCGGTTCGAGTGATGTAGCGCATGCGTGGCCTGTAGCAAATGAACCAGGAACAGGACTGCACACTCAGTGGCGTGCTTGATAGGCGCTCCTGTTAAGGAGAGGCTGCAGTAGCGACAGGTGCTACCAAGGGCCAAAAGCCTGCGATGAGACTGCATACGTTGGACGGCCTCCTCACAGCAAGGGATCATTGGGGAGTGTTTAGCTTTAATATGAGCTCGGAGGCCACGCGCTTGGGTCAGCCACTGGTGACAGTACGGGCAGTGATGGACTGCCTGGGGGAGCATCTTTTTCAGCCAAGAGGCGAGCCTTTCCCAACTTCCGACTAGGTAGAGCTGACATTCAGATCTGTGGTACAGGGGAGTCGGGTTGAGATTGTGTTTTGGGGGTAGGGCGTTAAAGCCGTCTGGGACCAAAGTTCGGCAGGATTTGGTGGAGATGTGTAGTCGTAAGTTATGCCACGAATCACATTGTCGGAGGCAGTGTCGGCATTGTGGTAGACCTTCTCGACCGTGCTGCCAAACGAACAGAGCATGTTCATCTGCCGCGAAGTCAGGTAGCGAGGCCGGGGCCGTGGTAGCATCTGGGTCCATCATGACGACTGGAGTAGAGGAGGCGTGAGCTGGGTCCGGAGCCTGAGCAGGAGGTGGGCGCAAGTCCGATGAGGCAGGTGCCTGTCGGACTTGAGCGTGATGGGACTTCCGCATGTGGAGCCGGACGGCCTGAAGGGTGCTATAACCAACTCCGCAGATTGGGCAGTTGAGTGGCCGGTAACTGAGAACACTGCTGATGGGCTTGAGGTGGGCACGAGTAGAGCCTCCCCGAGAAGGGGGCATAGAGGCAGAAGGGTCGGATGCAGAGACAGCAGGCGTCGTCGAGTAGTCCTGCAGCAGATCGTACCAGGTTTCCTGCGCCTCAGTTGGAAACTCCGGGTCTTGTTGGAGATGGCGTTGGATCCGCTGGTCAAGGGTGTCGCCTGGCGGGTCGAGTTGGCTTCTGAGGAGTAGGTCGTGGGAGGTAACTTTGGTGATGTGGCCCGGTAATTTATGGATGAGGCGGAGCTGGGCGTGGACGAACTGAGAGAGGAGGGTGCGGGAGTGGTAGGTGATGCCTGTGGCCTCCAGGGAGTAAAGGACGACCGGGTAGACACATGTCTTCCAGAGCCCTTTCTGGGTCCAAGGGCACCACAGCCCTCTCTGGGCTTCCTTACCCAAGAGCACCACAGCCCTCTCTGGGCCCAAGGGCACCACAGCCCTCTGTGGTCTTCCTTACTCAAGGGCACCACAGCCCTCTCTGGGCCCAAGGGCACTACAGCCTTCTCTGGGTTTTCTACCCAAGGGCACTGGGCTCCCAAGGGCACCACACCTCTCTGGGCTTCCTTACCCAAGCAGCCCTCTCTGGGCTTCTTTACCCAAGGGCACCACAATCCTTTCTGGGCCCAAGGGCACCACAGCCCTCTCTGGGTTTCTCACCCAAGGGCACCACAACCCTCTCTGGGCCCAAGGGCACCGCGGCCCTCTCTTGCTTACGCAAGGGCACCACAGCCCTCTCTGGGCCCAAGGCCACCACAGCTTTCTCTGGGCTTTCTTACCCAAGCGGCTCTCTTTGGGCTTCCTTACCTAAGGGCACCACAGCCCTCTCTGGGTCCAAGGGCACCACAGCCCTCTCTGGGCTTCCTTACTGAAGGGCACCACAGCCCTCTCTGGGCTTCCGTACCCAAGGGCACCACAGCCCTCTCTGGGCCCAAGGGCACCACAGCCCTCTCTGGGCTTCCTTACCCAAGACCACACAGGAGAAGCCTTTCACTCTATTTCTGGCTTCACTTGCACCCACGGGAAGACCTGATCTCGCGCCCTTGCGTGTTGAGGGCCCTTTGGCTTTGGGAGGTGCTTCGGGGCTCCTAGCCAGCCAGGTCTATGAGTGCGTTCTCTCGGGGGGCACTTACCCAAGGGCACCACAGCCCTCTCTGGGCTTCTTCCTTACCCATTACCCAAGGGCACCACAGCCCCAAGGGCACCACAGCCCTCTCCAGAGCGCTTCCTTACCCAAGACCACCACAGCCCTCTCCCTACCCAAAGGCACTGCAGTTTTGTCTGGGTTTCCTTACCCAAGGGCACCACAGCCCTCTCTGGGCCCAAGGGCAACCCAGCCCTTTCTGGGCTTCCTTATGCATGGACAGCCCTGGCCCTCTTTGGGCCAAACGGCACAGCCCTCTCTGGGCCGCTTTGCCCAAGGGCACCACAGCCCTCTCTGGGCCTCAGGGCACCACAGCCCTTTCTGTGGTGGTGTTGGGTAAGGAAGCCCGGAGAGGGCCCTTGGGCCCAAAGAGGGCTGTGGTGCCCTTGGGTAAGGAAGCCCAGGTAAGCAAGAGAGGGCCGTGGTGCCCTTGGGCCCAGAAAGGGTTGTGGTGCCCTTGGGTGAGGAAGCCCAGAGAGGGCTGTGGTGCCCTTAGGCCCAGA